CAGTCATCCAGAATTTTGGTCACAATAACCTCATGTCGATAAACACGTTCCCCAATTTTGATTGTTACATGCAGTTTTCCACTTATCGGTATGCACTGGCCGGTAGCTGATTTCATTTGTAGGCCAACAATTGGTTTAAGGTGTTTCCTGATGTTTTGTTCGAGCAGCCGAACATTTATCACCGTCCTTGAAGCTCCAGTATCTAATGTTAGCTGACTGTTTTTCCCATTTACTTGACCGTCTATCACCAGAGTATTTCCATCGTTGGTTTGCTTGATGTAGATTGTTGGGGTTGTTCCACTACCAGCCAGCGCCCACCCCGCATCCCTGGCTGGATTTAAGTTTCCCTGCTGGTCAGAAGTTGAGACCGCCGCGTCCTGGCGGTTCATGTTCTTCGGGCAGTCGCTCCGTATGTGCCCACGCTCTCCGCATCCATAGCACATGAAGTTACGACGGCGTGGAGGTACCTGCTCCGTTGTCGTCATTTCCCGCAGACGTAAGGTACGGGAGTTGCCACGCACGGTTTCCACTTCCAATGCATGGGCCAGAGCTTCTTTCATGTTCTTGTGATGGCCCAGATGAACAGCAGCTCGTACTTCGGGGTCCCGAATACCGTCAATGAACGCTTGGAGAAGCGTGCCTTCAATCATTGACGGAGTCGACCGGAAAGCTCGACGCACAAGTTTCTCGATTTCCACGGACCATTGCTGTAAGCTCTCATTAGCACACTGAGTACGCTCTTTTAATTGCGCTCTGTACACGTGCTCGAGGTGGCTGTCTCCAAAACGTGCCTCAAGTGCGTCGAAGAGGGCACTAAAACTTAGATCCCCACTTGCGCCGATAGCTTCCAGCACTGAGAGCGCTTGATCACGGAGGGCCAGGGTGAGGGCTGACTGTGCTTCCTTCTGAGTCCAACCATAAACCTCCATAAGTGTCTCAAACTGTAGTTTGAACGCGGTCCAGGATGTTGTTCCGTCGTAATGGGGAATCTTGAGCCCTTTCACTTCCTGCTTGTCACTTCCTGCTTGATTTTGGAGATCTCTTCTTCCACTCTCTCCTCTATCGCCATGACGCGATGTTCCAACTTGCCTAACCATTCCTCCAATTCTTATACCCGTTCGACAGCCTTTTGCAGTCCCTTCGAGAAATCTTTATGCATGTCTTCCAAGCGACGCGCTTGCTCCTCTTGGCGACGAGCTTGATCCTCTTGGCGACGAGCTTGATCCTCTTGGCGACGAGCTTGATCCTCTTGGCGACGAGCTTGATCTTCTTTCAGCTCCCGCAGCTGTTTTTCTTGGCGGCGCGCTTGCTCTTCTTGGCGGCGCGCTTGCCCTGCCATCATTTGCTGCAGCTGTAGCAGAAGATCCACCTGCACAGGCTTAGCTTCTGTACTATCGCTGGTTTGAGCTGCAGCACCCTCTTCCCTCACACGGTGCGCTTCTGACATTGCCCGGGTACTCACTCCTCTTACGTCCTGCGGTACTAGAGGCATTTTTCTCCAATCCCACTTCTGACACCAAATGTTAAACACTAATACACATATACTTTGTCAAGGCAACGTTTGACAACGATTCATAGACGTCATGATGACTCTTTTCCGTCACATTATTATCATGGTATCAATGAAAAATAGTAAGGTCGTAATGATTTATTTATTTCTTTTACTCTACTACTCCTGATACTAATGTACGATTTGTACACATAAGGAGAATGATAATAGAAGAAGAATACAATAATCAAGGACTCAAGTTACGATGTATAAGTACCTATTACAAAAAAAGCCGAGCAGCTCCGGTGGTTCTTCTCATGCTATGCCAATGTGACCTTTACCAATAAACTTGGAAGTTACCCATATGTACTTTCTAACATAATTTTGACACCACAGACGAACTGTGTAGAAAAAAATTATGAGGAAACCTGGATAATTTCAAATTAAGTATAACTTTGTAATTGCCACATCATCTTGAGAAAGAATAGATATTATTGGTCAAACCTTTTCTGTGTGAGCAGAAGCCTTTGTTTGTCAGTCGGAAGGTATAGTCCGATAATATGTTTAGAATTTTTTTTTTCCAAATGTACTACTTATCACATTTATTCTATTTTGCCGTCTAAAACTCAACACACATATCGAAAATATACTGTTCATCTTCATACAGTTTCTTTACAGAAAACAATTGAAATAATTCTGCGCCACAGAATAAATACACTAGTACATACGTAGACCGTACTCAAATTGTACTAAGACTACATCAATTATGCAATGCGTCATTAGCACACAAGTGTGTCGGTTGGCGCCGGCGGCGCACTCGAATAGAAACAAAAAAATCATAGGCTATAAATAGACGCACGCGCAGACAGTTGATCTGCAATAAGCCGTTATGTACCTTAAAAATTCAGAAGGAGGTGCTAACAGAATAACAAATATAATATGTATCCCGAACATGAGCTCAAAGAGCCAACAGGTCACCACCTCCAGACGGGCTCCTACAGGGCTAATATTTGGCTTGGGTTGCGGGGTAAGCGCAATAAGGCACCGCGGCCTCGGCCTAGATCAAGAGAAGGAACGGGGGTGCTTTTAGTCAGTAAGAGTCTGACACTTCCTCTTATCTCACCCTGGGCGGGAGAAGTCATTTGATGAGTTCTCCCACAACAAAAACTAAATAAATACACTATGTATACTTATAGGTACATGATGTCAGTTTCAATAAAACAACGTTTTTTCACGATAACAACGCGTATATTCTTCGTAATAGGTAGATACAAAGTAAAAAAAATATCAAAATATTTTCGGAGTTCAAAAATTGTACAACAGTTTTGGGTACTTACTAAACAAGATTACAGTTTTCTTAACAATATTAAGTGCGCATTTACATTCAAAATTATATGTCGAATACAATTTTAAATTTATAGCATACGCCAAAAAGTTTAATTTACAATTCTAACATACATTAGTCAGGCAACACGCTTTTATGATACTTCTTTATTGAGATTAAGCGCTAGACGTTCGCGCTTCAGTAATTAAATTATCGCGTATTAAGGTCACGTGACGTACTGCGAATATGCCCAAACTCCTGCTCACTATTAATCTGCGTTTGTGCTCTCTTTTATCACTAGACTCCAGTTCCAATCAAGCTTTTGTGCAAATAATACCATTGTCGAAGAACTATACAATAAATATTTTTTACATGATTGTGACTTGATGTGTAACATGGTGACTTAAACAGAAATGGAATATTCGAGATATCGATTTTATTTATTTATTAAAAGTTCTTACACAATGGGCACATAGGCGGACTTAATGCCTTAGGCATTTTCTACTAGAAAGTCTCATCGAGCCTGGGGTGATGCAGAGATTATTTTAAAAGGATTTTTTCTTCTAGCCTTTTAATTATGTTGGGTTAGCTTTGAGTCTAAAAAACATTTGGCTGAAGTCATCAACTGCTAGCAACTTGTTATAGGTAATAAAGTAAGCACACATGCTTGAAATTGTTCGTTCTAAGAAGTCACTATTCACATAGCAAGTCAAACTTTTTCAAAATAACGTTTAACCATCAGATCCTCAGAACCTTCGCCTTAATTAAGACTAGAACAAAGCTTCCTGCAAGCACCATGTCAATAAAGTCGACTATAAAAATAAGATCTTCATATAAAAATTATAAAAAAAAAAACTAATCAAGAAAAAATATCCAACTAGTCGAATAGATTTGTAATTATCAACTTTAATTAATTGAGAGTAAAGTCCATTTCACATTGTGTTTGTGATCGTAAATAAAAAAAGTGTTCGGTGTTATACGTTTGTTACTTCTACTATCTTGGAAGTGATAGGTCGAGTTAGATAATAGACGAATTTTAAAGAAAAAATAGCCAAATAACAATTATATCGATTCGTTATTATTATTATTTTTCAAAATAACATATGTATATGAAAATATATCCCATAGTCTACATTATTTTGTTAAATATGAGACACAAAAAAGCCATTATCTGACACCAACAAGGCTTGGCTTTGTAGCTTATTAACAATGAATTAATACAAAAAAAATTGTGCGCGAATTTCAAACTGTGACTTACTCTCTATTTTAAAGCAACTAATCTAATAAAAAAAATGGACTTTTAAAGTACATTTAAAGTGGTGTAGCACCTTATACATATATAAATATTTGTTTATCAACAAAAATTAAACTTATTTAGATACACATCTCTTACAGTATATTATGTTGTATACGTAGTACATATTATTATGTATATAGTCAAGAATTATAAGGCGATATCCATACAATATATCCTTAATCTTAGACCTAGTAAATATTATGGCATTTCGCGTAGGTATAGTTGTCTGAAACAGACATTATTAACAGTATTGTCTTTTGATTAGAGGCACATATAGAATTTACTTTTAACTGTATACAGTACATAGTCAAAATAAAAAATAATGTTAAGTACATTTCTCAGTGCATTGTCAATCTTATGTTCTTGGTTGTAAAGATAATTTTAGCAACACAAGTTTCTAGACCAAGTGTCATGCCACTATAAAACACAACTTTGTGTCTTAGAAAATAAAGTTAGGTTTTCGCTGCACTGAGGTTTTTTAAGCAAAAATATTTTATTTATTATTTATCAAACATTAATAATATCATTTCAAAGATTCTTAAGGCCATGTTAAGTATAATAATTAGGCAATAGTCATTTGTATAATAAATGCTTTTATGACTAAGTAAAACTATATAAAATTGTAATGTATTACAAATGCAAAAACAATTGTTTGTATCAAAAAGCTACCAGTTTCCTAGCATTGTATTTTATTTTGTATACGATTCGTCATAGGCAATTTATAATTCTAGTTATATTTATTTTATCTACAACATATTTTAATTGGGTGGTAAATCTATTGTTTTGTATAAATTGCAATCGAGCATTAATTGAATACCGACAATTATATCATAGTAATATTAACAAAACTGTGATTCATTCCAACAATAGAAATAAAATAATAGTAAAATTTGTTTTGTTCCATATTTGTGATTGTACTTACACAGAAGGCGGTGGAGCTGACGGTGCAAATCCTCCTTGAGAATAAGGCGGGCCACTGCTAGGCATATTCCCAGTAGGATATGGTGGTTGAACACTAGCCGCATAAGAGGGAGGGTAACCTCCCACCGGTGGGTTAGTCGGATATCCCGGCCCAGCACCCGGATACCCAGACCCAGAACCCGGATACCCCGACCCAGCACCCGGATACCCCGTATTAGCACCAGCTGGTACTGTGAAACCTATCTCAACTTTGGGTTTCATTTCCATTGACACTGGAGATGTTGATCTTGATCCAGGGTAACTGTTATTTAAGCCAGGGTAGGGAGGAGGGTTGTTTTGGTAGGGGCTGAGTTGAGACGGGGCGACCTGCACTCTATTCAGGCTAGTGTTGGATCCCCTAAAGCCAATGGTGACAGGCGGGAGAAGAAGATGCGGTGGGGCTTGACTGGCATCAGGTATAGGTCCAACCGGTAGATTATGCGCCAAAGGATGCACATACTCCTCAGTGAATTCTCTTACAGGCACCAATCCCAGACAAATCTCCGCTTCATCTTGTAGTTCATCGTTACATCCTGACAGTTTTATTGTTACCTAAAATAGAAGGAATAATGATATTTCGATGGCTCATCAAGGATAGTTTGCACTTTGAGTGAGTAAATAATTGCTGCACGGTTGGCGTGTTGGCAGGACAACTAGCTGCTGCGCAACATGTCGCGGGTTCGATTCTTGTACGGTCTATTTGTGTGATCCACAAATTGTTGTACCGGGTCTGGTTTTGATGAGTACGTGTGTACGTGTGTACACATCAGGTGCGTTTACAAATATACAATTTATATGTTTGTAAACGCACCCACGACACTGGAGAAGACCCTAGAGTGGACAACGTTTTTTTAAAAAAAAAGCAGCCGTAAATTGTTGAAGTGGGACATAATTTAAACTTTCAAAAGTGTCTTTTTCGTTGGGACATAATGATATCACTCTTCATATGATACTTACTCGGAAGAAATAGCCGACATCGATGATGCCGCAGTTCTCGAGATAGGGCGGTATGATCTCGGGCACCACAAGGTCGCAGGTCAGGTTCCGCTTGCTCCGTGCCATCACGGGACCTTTCTTTGTAGTCGACAGAACTGTCTCAGGTAGAATGTATTCAGACGGCGGTCGGTGACTGCGGTATAACTCTTTCTGTTAACAATAATATTGACTTCAGTTTTTGTTTTTTGAACTTATGTCTATTTATATATTACAATCCTTCTTCGCCCCCTATCCCTCCTCAATCCCTAAATCTTCAAATCCCTAACCCCTAAAAGGTCGGCAACGCACTCGTAAATCCTCCGTTGCGTTAAATTTTAGTGTAGCACGCTGTTCGTAAGCACTTTGCGTGATCCACAAATTGTATTCCAGGTATGGGCTATGAATTTCAATTATGAAAACGCACCCACGACACTGAAGAAAATCTTAGTGTTGGGTAATAATAATAAATAATAATAATAAATACACTTTATTGTACACCAAAAGAGTTGACATGCATACAAAATGAGTGAATCCAAAGTACTGGGTACAAAGGCGGCCTTATCGCTAAAAGCGATCTCTACGGGTAATTCTTTTTTTTATAAATTATATACATTAACATTTATTTTGTGTGTTTTACACCAGCAGGTGTCATGGAAATCATGAAATTGAATGAACTCTGCCTATGGCGTATGGTATGGCGAGAGGAGTGTTAGACTTTTAGGGACAATATATCCTCCATTTATTGTCCTGCTCCAAGACGAGGCAGCGGTTTCTTATTAACCGCGACCCCGGCTAAACATTACCCCAACTGCGGTGGTTTATTGGCTCTTTGAGGCGCGCGCACCTCTCACTTGGGCCAGGTTCGGGTCGAGCGGCTAGCTACCCTTGCTCACTGAACGCAGACCTGTTTCAGGCGGAAGGCGAGGACGCCATGGCGTCTCTTTAGCCTCTCCTCAAAGAGAGGGTCTTACCGCTGCTATAAGAACATGCCCGAAAAAAAGAGTAAGTACCTACTCGTTTTATAATTACGTAGGTTAATACCTAGTAGGTACACTGAATACACTGAAACCAGACAATAAATACCAACAACATGTGATTATACTGAGCATATCTCGGCTGTGACCTTCACTATTTATTACACAGTCTGTCATACATAACAACCAATTGTGATAAAATTGCGATTGTGTTAGTATCTTCAATACACCATTTTTTTTCATTACTATCCCAAATCATCGTATTATTATTAGCAAAACATTGAAGCTAACATATTACTACACATTGATCCTAAAAACTCGTAATTATAAGGGGCGATGGTTTGTTAACCCCACTCAGCTCCGTGGGCCAAATGTGCGCCATAAGCGAGTAGTATTCGTAAAAGATGAAATAAATTGACCAATAAGTTTAAGAAAATAGCAAGGAGTTAAAAGTTACTTACCGACACAATTTGGAAGATCATCTTGGTGATTTCGACACTGCTTTTGTTGACAACTTCAATAGCAATAGGTATGACCTGCCCAGGACAGTATCCTGACACTGGTAGCTTAACGCGTATGGTAACAGGATTGGTACTGCAGAAACAGTCGCAGCCGTATACTTCTTCAAATTCCAATTCTGTAGGTTGCTGTTAAAAAAATATTGTTTTAGGGATTTGGACTGTCTAAGTTTTCTCCGCTTTGGTCGAGTGGCCTCAAATAAAACTGCTGCAAATCGTTGTATTTCTTTTTTTGAATTTTAAACTGTCAATTCTCTCCTGTCCCCCTAAGTGAGCCAGAAAAGAGTGTCAAGCTCTAACTTCCTCAGGGGTAAGCGCAACTAGGCACCGCGACCGCGACCTCGGCCTTGGCGAGGGCGAGTGTCAGACTCGAGCGGGAGAAGTCATTTGAAGACTTTCCCCTCACAAACTTGACGTTCAAAAATGTCTGTTGTTGTCTATTTGAAATAAATAATGTGACTTTGACGAAAAAAAAGCTCTTACTACCTAATAACTACTTTTTTTCAACCCCTGCTACAAAAACTACCCTCGGCAGAGACATGTGCACCCCTGCCTAACCCTGCAGTCTGTAAAGAGTAAAATTAAGTACCACTAGTAAATATATATTTTAAAATAATGATAATACACTCACTTTTACTCTAGGACTTCCCAAGTTCAAATCAAAAGGTGCTACAACTTCGAAATCTTTTACCAACTCATCTACCAGTATTGAAGGGTCTGCATGAACCAGGTGTGCTTTCATGGTGTAAGTCACTTTACCATGTTCCCGTTTTAAAGAGGAAGGGGCATTGAATGGGAGCTGGTATTTGAAGGCGTAGGATTGGGGACCAGCAGATAGTTGGGAAACACCTGAAATTATACAGAAAATATAATGTGATAAAATAATGACTCAAAATATTTCTTGAAAATTGTGACATTATTAGTACTAAAGATGATTTCCTTGATAGATCTCAACATTGTTATTTCTTCACATTTAACATATTTTTTGGCCCAACTAAAATGAAAATGATTTAGGTGATTTAAAATTAATTAGTCTGTAGCCTGTTATGATCAATTAAAGTGAAAATGTGAATCTTGTTTTTTTGTGTTGCCTAATTTCTGAATGTAGACAGTAATAAATAATTATGATAATAATTAATGTCATGGTTTGTTTAGACAGCTTTTATAATTTTGCTGGCAACAAAAAACTACATACAATTTTTAGAATTCAAGGATAATAAAAATAAAAATAAAAGTTAGAAAAAATAATAAAAACTATCGGAAATTCTTTCATACACTCTGTTCTGAGCAAATACTAACTAGTTGAACTAAAGAAAAACAAAGCAACATTAATTGATTCAATTGTTTTACTGACAGTCCGGCCAGTTTGTTAATTAAATGAAGTATCTTAATTGTATGTACTGACCTGTCCCACCAGCTAGTGTCACTTTTTGGTTGAAGTATTCCTCTCTCCCAACATAATTTATAATTTTATGATTCTCGACACCATTCACAGTCTCAATTTCACTCTCATTCCAAGACACTGTGGCTTCTCCAATAAATTGTATGTAGATTACTGAAAAAAGACAATCACTTTACCTATGATATAATATAAGAATAATATTTAATTAACACAAAATTACAATGATTTTTAGTTTATTTGCTTGCACTAAGTAAATACTTGTTTATGGTAGAAACTACTTAACACCACAAGAAAAAAAAACATACAAAAACTTAAACATCAATGTTTTTAATTAACTATAGTAAAGTTGTAAACCATCAAGTACTTACCAGAAAAAGATATTGGAATATCCAGACTAAAGTCTATGGATCCTGATACAACTTGGCCGGAATAATAAATTGGCTTCGTATCCAACTTTATCTCACCCTTGACGAAACCGCCTGCCATTATCACTTATTTGCATAAACAAATCTCAAAAAAATAAGAAACTGAGTGTTCTAAAGAAAATAAGATATTATGTACAAATTAACCAGGTAACACAATAATCTACCACAAAGTTTGTCACGACAAATTAACATTCATATTACATATATATTGCAAGTTGCAGAAAAAATAGACTAGGCAGGTCAACTAAGGAATTTTGGGCAGTGCCCCAGTGCCCAAAACAGTGGATGTAAAATATGAACCGACGACAATTTGGTTGTTCCTGCAAACGAAACTCAGGGTTCATTTACATAAGGTACAATTTGGCTAAGCGTTGCAGCGTTATCAGCTTTGACGTTTTACGATGACCTTCTAAGTGCGTTCATTCATGTCATTCGTTCGTTATGGCCTCGTTCATTAAATTTTAAACAATGCTACGTTTAGTTATCTTCGTTTTTCACATTGATGGGATTGAGTTTTTGCAATCATTAAATATGATAGCTGTTAAATAAAGAAACAAACATTAAAATTAATAGGAATATTATTAAAATCTGTCACTTGATTGGATAAAAAATTAGGGACAATATTTTTTTAGCTGCCGCGCCACACTAACATTATGACTACAATACTTGTAATCAAACGTAACAAAAAGCATTGTCAAAGTCAGACGTGACATTGACAAAATTGACGTTTCCTTTATGTTCTGAAGTGTCTGAAATGGGATCACGTTGTTGTTATTAAAAATAAATCTGTTGAAGAATCGAACAACTTTTCACCATGGGCAAGTTAGACGTTGCAATATTACGTTATTTAACGGCTGAAGACTTTCGTGTCCTGACCGCTGTAAGTATTCGTTATAAAAACAACAGGTAACCTCAAACTCAGTGTTACTTTATATTTTGAGTTTTGCATTCGTTGTTTGCAGGTGGAAATGGGTATGAAAAACCATGAGCTCGTGCCTGGATCCCTCGTTGCATCTATAGCTAACCTCCGTCATGGTGGAGTTCACAAATTAATGAAAGATCTGTGTAAACATAGATTGTTGACATATGAACGTGGAAAACACTGTGAGTACATCATACTCTGTCATTCACTATGTTTAATAATAAAAATTAGCTTTAAATGTAGGCAAAGATCACAAAGCCTTATTCATATAATAGTGGGTGAGCCTTATCATATTATATTGTTAGCATCCATAAAAAGCTTTTAAATTTTCTACCCCAGATGATGGCTACCGTCTCACAAATTCTGGCTACGACTATTTAGCTCTGAAAGCTCTGACAAACAGAAAAGTAATTGCTTCATTTGGCAACCAGATTGGTGTGGGAAAGGAATCTAATATTTATACAGTCGCTGATGAAGACCGTAACCCATTATGTCTGAAGCTTCACAGGTAAATAAATAACAAATTGTTAATATCCCATTTGCTCTCTAAATTGCACAAAAGAAAATTGTATGTTTTTGCCATTTTTCTTTGTTTTAATACTGCCTGGTATAATTAATAATTCCAACTGTAAATCAGTATTAATAAGTTTAACTACTAACTTGCAAAAACTGTTTTTCTCAATGTTATAATCTTTCTTTAGTAATTTAAAAATCTAAAAGTCTTCCAACTATGATTTCAGACTGGGCCGCACATGTTTCCGTAACATAAAAGATAAGAGAGACTACCATGCCCATCGCAACAAGGCATCCTGGCTATACTTATCCCGCATATCAGCAACTAAGGAGTTTGCATACATGAAGGCTTTGTATGACAGAGACTTTCCTGTTCCCAAGCCTATTGACTTCAACAGACATTGTGTTGTCATGCAGCTGGTGACTGGAGGACCATTGTAAGTCAACTGACCAGTAAATAAGTAAAAATTCATATTTAAAATCTGAAAGTAGGCCTTGTGACATTAAGTTTGTCCCATGAGTCTTCATCATACAAATGTTGAAAAATAGATTGCACAGGGGAGCATCTTGGGTCCAATGCAAAACTAAGTTGTTTGTGTCCCTAGGACTTGAATAACTCAAGTGTTTCAGTATTTTTATGGTTGTATCTTCTGTAGGTCCTGGCTTTCAAGAGTTGTACTGGATTTGGAGGCTCATTTAAAGCACAGCTTATGTAACCTGTGTACTTTTACCTAATTTAAAAATGCTTAATATTCTTGCTTGCAGAACTCATGTTTCATCAGTGGAAGACCCAGAAGCCTTATATGATGAGCTGATGAACTTGATAGTGAGACTTGGTAACTGTGGTGTCATCCATGGTGACTTCAATGAGTTCAACATAATGATTGATGAAGACAATCATCCTGTCATCATTGATTTTCCACAGATGGTGTCCACTTCCCATCCTAATGCTGAACTGTAAGTTCAACTTCGTTTACACTCTTGAATTTCGTAATTCATTGATGATACAATAAATATAACTGATATCTGTCACTTGAAAGTAGAAATGTATTGAATTTAATAACAATATGAGTAGTAGTACTTAACAACACAATTTATTTACTCTAGTTACTTTGATCGCGACGTGCGCTGTGTCCGAGAGTTCTTCAAGAAACGCTTTGGTTATGAGAGCGACCTTTATCCAAAATTCAGTGACCTCGAACGAGATGATGAGCTTGATTCAGAGATTGCTTGTTCGGGATACAAACGCACCAAGGATGTTGACAATGAATTGCTTCAGGTAATATCATCATTTTATTATTTACGTACATACATACTCGTTAAACCATATGGGTCCCAAAACATACCCCTGTTGCATCCCAAAACTTAAGTTCTGTAAAAATTACTGTACTGTTATTGGATTTAATAGTTATTCGCCATGTTTTCAGGAAATGGGCATAGGTCTTCAACTCAGTGATGATGAATTAGAATCTGAAGACGAGCAAGAGGAAGAAAGTAGTAACAAGATGACAGAACAAGAGTTAGATAACCTTAGGAAAGAGGTAAAATTAATTTGCATCTATTTCTGTAATTTGTATCTGTTTACTATTTTGAAAACTAAATTTTTATCTATACTAATATTGTAAAGAGGTAAAATTTGTAAGTTTGTATGTAGGGGTAACCTTTGAAACCTCTGGTCGGATTTCCAAAATTCTTTCACTGATAAATAGCTACAATGTTCCTGAGTCGTATAGGCTATAAAACATCACGCAAAAGCTTAATGGAGCCGAGCAGCAGGTGAAACTGCGCGAGAGTAGCTATAATAACAAATATAAAGCAGTAATAACAATGTTGTGTAAATATTTTTAGGTTGATGAATCAATACAGAATGATGAACGTCCAGTAAACCAGATCATAGCAAAAACAGTTGAACTAAAAATAGAAGAACCGGAACAAGACAGCCAAATCGGCAACCTTAATAAATATAAAAATGAAGAAGAAGAAATACCACAACTTGTGAACCCGACAGAAAAAATAGATTCAGATGTAGATAAAAACTCGCAGAAATATAGACTTGCTATGATTGAAAAAGCACTGTCAGATGTAAGATCAATGAGGACCTATACGTCGGCAAGCACGATAGCGCCAGAAATTGTGAAGCAACAAGTAAAGAAGAATCTGGAAATAAAGCAGAAGAAGATGGAGAGGAAGAAGGCAATAGCTAAAGGAGAGGCGAGCGCCGTCACCAGGCAAAGGAGAGATAACAGAGAAACTATTAGAGAGAGCCATGGGCTGTGGGGATGGGATGAATAAAATATTTATATTTAATTTTGTTTATTTTATTTTATAACGGCGCGATTCTTCAGACAATATAGGTATGTCATTTGATTTATTCCAACTCGAATTAAGATTGTTTTTCTTATATGTTTTCATCAACTAATTCTCTACTATTTTCAGGGTGGTCTGTACTAGGTTGAATATTATTTAGCCAATCATGATGTCTCTTATAAAGCACTTCTAAGTATGTTTCCACACAAAATATCTGAAAATTACAAGAATATAATATTAAAAATATTCTTTCCGTGAATATGTATAGGGTGGATTTTTCTTTGATGCTGAGTGTAGTTGTTACCTTTTTTAATTTTTTTCGGTAAACAGAGAAACCATCCAATCTGCAAGTGTATCCAAAGGCGCTAGTGCTCGTTTTAGACTCGAACGCCGTCACATAGTTATCATCACTATGAAACGTATAATTTTGCAACTTGTAGCTGCCAGCCTGAAGTGGGCACTGCATTCTAGAGGTATAGAGGAGAATTCATTTATAGTATTTCATAACATTGCATTCACAGAACAATGAATATTTCAACCGGAAAACTATCATTTGAATATCAATTGAGTTTAGAGTGGGTTTATGTATTATTAGAGGCTTATAAGATATGGAAATTTTGAAAACACCTTACTTTGGAACCGTGTGATTGAAGAGGATGCTGTACAAATTCGACTCTTTGGTTTTAGAGCTGCAGCCATTGCTTATAACAAAGAATGACTTGAAGAAGTCGCAGGAGTCAATATTACGGATATCCGCACATTTGAACATAGTTGCCTGGGAAATTAATAAATAATGATGGCTTTAAACTCCATAACCGACCCCCCAAAATGAACTGATTCTTTGCATTTAGGTACCTACCTACCTTTACCTTCCAACCATTTTCAATATTTCCTGAAATATTAACTATACCGCTTAGCTTTGAAGCGTATGCCCTTGTTGTGACGCTAAACTCAGAAAGTTTCACGAAATTTTTCTGTTCACCGTGGCATGGCCCAACGCGCGTTACTAATAAATGCGTTGGTGCTTGTCTACTATTTATAACTCTTATAGAAGAAAAAAGAAAAACGCTGTACATTAATATCATTTCGAAATACGATACCAAATAGAATGATACCGAAATACAGTGATTAGGGGATTTACTATATCTTATTCCGATTTCAATGTGTTCGTAATAAAAAGGTATGGATAATGAGTTTATAATGTCTTTATAATAGAGTGTTTTTGATGTCATTTTCAAAGTTAATGAATAGCAGTTATACAAAGTATTAGATAAGATCATTATTAGCAAAGTATAACGAAGGATAACAATCCTACCATAATTATTATTCGTAAAACTTAAATAATAAAAACAGAAATAGTTCGACATTCATTGGTATCTAATGGTTAATTTGGTTACTCAAGAAACTTTCACTATCTTAGACTATAGAAACTATTCCTCTATGCACAGGATGCCATCGGCATATTTTGTGATCTTTCAAAGGCTTTTGACTGTGTTAAGCATGAAACACTATTACTGCAGCTAAAATACTACGGCATCTGATAGATCAGAAGGGGTATCTCTAGATTTATTAAAGTCATACCTCCAGGTAGACAACTAAAAGTACAAGTACATAAAGTAAACTCACGAGGTAATAGTAGCGTACCGCAGGGCTCAATATTAGGTCTATTCCTATATTTGGTATATGTGAATAACCTGCACCTTTTTTCCAAAATGAACCGCATGTGGTATAATTAGCTGAAAACAAATAACTGTTTTTTTTTAAATTAATAGACGAACAATTTATTGTAACAAATGATGATATATTATTAATTGGTCAGAAACTAGAGTTTGTAAAAGTGACTACTTTTCTGGGGATTACTGTAAACGATAAGCTGCAAATCTATCTGGGAGACCGACATAGACACGACTAGTTAACTTCATCTACTTTCGTAGCACCATGTCGTATGGAATTCTGTTGTAGGGACAGGCATCCGACATTGAGTCTATCTTTATTTTGCAAAATCGTGCCGTCCGAGCTAGCTATAACTTAGTTCGTCGTGAATCTCTTAGAGAAAAGTTTACGGAGATCAACATTGTTACCGTACTATGTCAATTTATTTATGAAAACATTATGCATGTTAGGAAAACCTACAGTTATTTATTAAAGTATCTTACAAACATGACCTGCATGACCATCAAACTAGACACTAGGATAGATTAAGTCGAGGCGGAGTGCGTGAGGGAACTATCCTCGCGCCCCAGCCGCTGCAAAAGGCGACATTCTGGACGTCGGGGATCGAGCAAATGGTACAAAAAATCCCAGGTGAAATACAAAAACTTAATGAAAGCAAATTTTAGGTAAGCATTCCACAAACTAAGTGTGATTACATAGATGATAAGGATGCTTGGAGTCTAGCTGGTCCTACACAACGGCACAGGATAATATTTACGAAAATTGAAAATGTTAAGAGGGAAAATGTTCATTTATGAAATAATACACCATGTTATTAATTTGTTGATGAACTTAAAAGTTTTAGTAAATTTAGAATTTAGGTAGGTATGGTATATGGAATATAGGTATGCTCAGCTAGGGGTCTCATTATTAGTCATTAGTGGCACGGGCACTGGATCGCTCGATTCCCTTTATTATGGTTGAGTTAGACGGTGCTGGTGTACGTGTTATGTTCGTGAACGGGCGCCGTCAGTTGGGACTGGTCCTTGAGGTATTTCCTCTTCCTGATGTTTTGATTGTATAATAGTTTGACACTGTTCTCGCAGAATAGAACCGATTGATTGAAAAAGAGTAACCATGGGGTTTCTTGCTCGTTCTTCTCCACTGGAATCTACTCTTTGGAACGGGCAAGTAGCTATACTAGAGGATTCACCAACAGATTGTGATACACAAAGTTAAACTTTTTGATATTTATTTTTGTTTGGCGATCAAAAGTGGCAATTTTTATGGATATGAAATAAATAATTTGACTTTGATGCTTTCAATAAAATGTAATAAAAAAACGTATTGTGATCGGCAATAGCGTTAGGTGTCGTTTACACAAATATTGTATGACCATTTTGACGAATGAGTATCGCACCGCACTCACAGCACGATGCACCTTGCCTCCGTAAATAATAACTAAAAGGCTTGTATCAAATATCCTATATTTATTCTGAAAATCTTGTTGTCAAGAGTGACAGATGATAGTGACAATGACAAAAAGCAGTTGTGTTAGTTTCTCACTGTAAACATTGGGATAACCTAGGATAATTTAGAAAATACTGCATTAATTAAAGGATAGAACTTGTTATTATATAATATACTGTGTTAAAATAAATCGCTAAAAATGTCTCTGGAAGACAGTAAAATCGACATAATAAAGGTATGTAGCATAACAATCCCAGATTCTTAATCATGTTTCTGGTGGTTTTATCATAGTATAACCTTTTTATGAAGAAAATCCTTTTAGATTTTGTCCAAATAGCCTAATTTAAGTAACGTTTTTCACATTATTCTGTATAAAAGCTTAATTACTTTGCCAGGCAATGGTGGTGTTTAACTATCTGTTATTATTTTCAGAGACGAAAAGAAGCTACATTCATAGCCGACGGTTTAGATAACAATGCTTCCGCGGATAAAATAATTGAATATTTAGAAGACAATCAAAAGAAGAAAAACAAGATTTATTCATTGTACAGTCAAACAGTGAGACAAAGACGTACCACGGCGGGAAAGTATCGTGATAACAAGCATTTCCTACTTGTTGGGCATCCATTGAACGTGTTCAGTGATGACTGGGATGGAGGACTAAAGTCTGGGTACTTTGAAACATTCTCACACAACAGCATGTTACCAAAGATGATATCCATAATTAAAAACATTGACAAAAAAGACCCAGTCACTGAGTATATGAAGAAGAAAATGATCTGGCAGGATACTTTGGTTGACTATAAAAGGATTATGCGTAAGTATTTTGATATCTTTCATTAAATTAAATAACTCCCAGTTTTTTCAATAATTCCATTTTTACATACTTGAAACTATAGCATTTCAAAATAATTATAATAGCACTGAGAACTCAATATAAAATAATTATATTGAAAATATTTAACAATGCCATGAAGCAGAAGGATTTTTAAATTATATTACTACTATCTTAAATTAACAGGTCTGATGAGTAGAAAACGTAAATATGAATGGATTAATGAGGAAGTGTTACATTGTCCGAAGCAACTTGTTGAGATTGCAGCTCATTATGAAAATAACCCGGATCCTTACTTTGAGAGCAGCTACAATTGGTACTATGCTGGTCATGGCAACATGTTGCTGATCACTCTGCATGGTATTGATTATCTGGTGCACAGTGAATTTAATTGCTTGTGTAAGTAATCTATGGCCTTCAAGCTCGGTCTTATTCTGTAGTTATATGTAGTGATTGATCATAACTATTATACTTACTTTGTTTTTGAATTCATGTTATGAAACTATTTTATAAATTCATTTTTGCCAATAACTTTTTAAGTACCGCCTAAAAACACGTATTTTAAACAAATTAATAAGTTTAATGGCATACTCACATAACTTTTTTATCGAAGACCTCAACCAATTTTTACCCATGTTTATGTCTTATATTGTTGAGCAATATTGCGCTAACTGAGTAAGCTGTTACCATCTTACTTAATTTATATATATGTTACGAAAGTATATTAAGTTAATATCTAAATTATTATATATTGGGGTGTCTTTATTTATTGGTTTATATAAAATTAACTACATTTTTTTTTCAGATATTACTCTTTTCCTGAAATATAATTTGTTAATTGAATACGATACAGCAGTCACTTTCGACTGTGGACCTGACCTCAACATACTTGAAACTATAGCATCACAAAATATAATAGCACTGAGAACTAAACATAAAATATTTATATTGAAAATATTAGACAATGACGGCGCCATACAGATAGAAAAACTGAAAGAAATGGACTCAACATTACCATTCACGGGAATATCTTTTGATGAATATCACAAAAATATTTTGTATGTTACCACTCTAGACTACAAATTGACTATTGTAAACATAGATCGAATGAATGGACGAAGTAGGCAACTGCGAGGCAATGTAAGCAGTTTGGTCGACAACTGGAGCACAGTAATTGGTTCCGAAAGGGGGTACTTTACACATGTAGCGAAACATGCCATTACTCTATACGACAAAAGGACTAATGCTGCTTTTCAAAGGTGGAAAAATATTAGGAATATCACGGACGATGTAGCATGTAACGACATCAGTGTTGCGAGCCATGCCACGGACAAGCGCCTACTGTACTTCGGAACTGATCACCATCTATTTCTAATGGATTTACGATACAACAAGAAAGAGAAAAATAAGCTAAAAGTTGTTCAAAGATGGACGCACGGCATGCAGTGTTTACCCACTTACATGACTGTCCAGAAGTTTGACTATAACAGAGAGCTTATTTGTATGAGCAGCCAGTGGTGCGAAGATTTATGTGTAGTTAGTAACCACGCAGACAGGTTGACCAGGCACACAGACATCAGCAGTGTAGCCATGCCATACCGGCCACCCAGCGTGCTACAAGCGCTAAGTGAAGCTAAGGAAAAAATACTCTGCTGTGATCTCAATAATCCAATAGAAGATAGATTATGTACCTCAATCACTGGACTGTCAGTATTAGAACAAGATGACAAATATCATCTGCTCATGTTAAACTCGCTAGGCGACGTGTCGTGTCACACTCTGTGCCCGCAATATATGACTGCTTTTTTTGAAGACACGAGTGCAGACATTCTCAGTGAGTGGTGTAAAACTTATAAACGGGAACCAAAAAACTTGGAGGTATCGTCCATAGAAGATATTAGAAATATTTGGAAAAAGCTAAAGAGGATACCTGATGAATACAAACTGGGTGAAAATAAGTTTATTAAAAAAGAAAGTAAGTTCACTGAAAAAGAAATTTACGACGCATTCGAAAACGGGGAACTCGAAACAGGACTCTTGGATATTTGGACTAGGAACCCGTCGGAGGAAACTAAGAACGAATCCTCCTTCAGTTTATTTTTTGGTAACGATGATGAATAAAACAAATTTATTCTTTATAAACAACTATATTTCCTACCTATATGACTGAGTTTTTACAAACAACCTCGCACACATCAAATCAACATACAAACATATACACATTAAAATTAATTCATAAACATGGCGCGACGTAGTTTGGAACTTCAGCTACATAGTAAGGACAAACTAGTAGCGTACAGTTGGAAGCTACGTCGTTGTAACAAGTTGGGAAGTATCAACCATTCATACTAACAATTTGTGTTACACCAAGCAAAGTCTACTTACAATGCATGTAAATGCAAAGTTGTTAAAGCTTAGCTTTTTTTACAATGTTTTAATAGCGTCAGTAGGTTTCCCGCAGAGGTATTCATTCAGTCTTCGGGTACTTCGTTGAAAACTGAAAAAATAAACAAATCGTTGATATCTCCCAACTAGAGGACTATTTAAAAAACTCTAGGAATAATTAGTTTACTGAAATTATACCATAAAGAGTTTATTTGGGTTTAGAACGAAATGATAAAACACGTCAATAAATAACATTTTGAGCTAGGCTTAACAATAAACAAATTTAAAAATAGCTAAAAGAAAGTTATTTTATAACTAACAAACCAATTTTACATGAACAAATACTTTTAGGAAACAAAACAGAACACAATACATTATTATTTAAATAGTGAACACATCTGAATAATTTTACAATTTCATCAAATTACGTGTAATATTATAATAACAATAAATGAGTGACATTACACTGGCATCGATTCTTTTGTGCGAATAGAGTACAATATTTCCATCAACCTAGACACTAATGTCAATTCAGAAAATAGAATAAAAAAAAACTAAATTTGTTTTTTATTATAACTTTCGTGAGACATTTAAATTAATTAATGATTATTCGCGCAACAAACAGACGTCGCGCACCCGACTCATTTGAAAATATGAGCCCTAAGCATGGTTTGAAACTAGACGAGTTATCTCGACAAACAATTATATGTGACAAGGCAGTGAAATGCAATCAATAAAAAATATTTGCTCTTAACATAGGGATCATGAAATGGTGTGGAGATACAGATTAAGCAAATGCACAAGAAAATCGAAGCCTCGGTAGATATCTTTATTTCCAAGATAAATTTAAAAAGTTAACCAAAGAACATTGTAGATTAATTAATACTCGAATACTAATTATAGTAATGACTTGAATACTTAGTAAATTAAGATCTTTGATTAGTTTGTGGATAGCAACAACGATATTTAGCCAAATATAGGTTACTGGAAGCACATAACAATATTTTTTTTTAATGTTTCAACATCAACAGAATTATTATAACAGAGATTTTAAAGAGCATTTCGTTTACGCACCTCTTTGCACACTAGATTTAGTTCACATTAACACGGAATTAGCGGAGTTGATGCTTTAGGTAAAAAGAGATTGAATGTAGGCGGCAAGGTTTCTTTTTAAGTACCCATTTTGCACTAAATATTTTTATAATAATTATGTTATAGATTTGATTTGAACTAATCAAATTCGTAAAACTATGGCAGTGTGAAAACTAGCTTAGTTGTAAATGATATTAAATAATTTGGAATTTGGTTAAATAATAAGTACTTGTTTCCACTTTTGCTTGCATCAGATAAGTATATTTTTATCCAATGACCAAAACCAGTTACCCACCCTTACAGTCCCCGGCACGTAACTTGGCAAGAGCCGTTAAATGCGCAGAAGTCATATTTTGGGTGCCTCTGATACGCAAGCGGGGCGCGGGGTGTGAGACAACGTCGACCCGAGTGCGCATTTGGTGCGTCAGTAGACCCTTTTTTTGTGAGGGGAAAATCATCAAATGTCTTCTCCTACCCAGAGTAGGGCGGAAAGAGTCGTCCCCCCCCCGTTCCTTCTCCTGCTCTGGGCAGAGGTCGCGGTACCTCATTGCGCTTACCCCGCAACCCGCCTTTTTAGTGGCCACGTCCCGTTCACTCCCCCACACTTGCGAGCACTAAAGTTGAACTCTTTGTTTTTGTGAAGTCTTGGTTACGACATTTAAAGCTGAAGCTAAATCGGGGATTATTAAGACAACATGAATTTTGAAAATTATACGAAGTGGCTCCGCACCCAGCTAATACCAAACCTGCCACCAAATTCAGTATTAATTTTACCACGACAACCAGTTCGATCCAGCCGAATAGAATGCCAAGAAAGCCGCAAGCAAAGTTGGTTGGCAGAAAGGGCATAGCTTTTGAAGAAACTATTTTTAAACCCCAACTGTACAAATTGATTATGTTACACAAAAATCAATACAAAAAGATTGACTTGACCGAATACTGGCAGAACACAATCAGGACCTAAATCCAATAGAAATGGCACGGGCGGCAATCAAAGGCTACGTAGCCAGAAAAAATACGAAATGGAATGAGTTTCATGTATAATGGACCTAATTAAGGAGAAAGTGGCACTAATGGGCGCCGAGAAATGGTCCAAATTGTGCCAAAAAGTAAAAAACACAGAAGCAGAGTACATCAAAAGTGACCACATTGTAGACACAATCACTGAAAATATTCTTTTTTACATCAGTGACGACAGCGACCCCTCCAGCGATGAGAGCTACTTGCACGAAAGTTTTGTCGATATCAAGAGCCACGTCCTTCCACTTGCTCCGGTAGCACTTTAAATTTAATTCCAGGCATAGGATATTTATGTGACAGTGACAGTTATTTTTTAAAAAAAAAATATTTTTAAATGAATTTATGTATTTTATTTATAACACCTAATAAATATCACGAATTTTTTTCCTTCCTTTTAAACATAAATTGAAAATAAATTAAGGTAATAATCACAAAAATTACAAGCACTAAAAGGGACCATTTTTTGGGACATGCGTGAATTTGCTCCCACTATGCCAAATTCTTGCCAAGTTATGTGCCGGCTACTGTACCAGTTTAACCACCTTGAAAGATAGATATAAGCCAGATTTACACAACGCCATAGTTATGAACTGAGCATCTTTTTGCTTTTTATTATATTATTTTAAGGAAAAATCCCAACCAACAAACAACACATCGTTTATTCTACGTATATTAGGATACCTATACAATGACCATCATAACTGTTACATTTACGATTTACTAACATACCTATAGCAGGAGTTAGCGCCTGGTGAAGGTCCGTAACCAGCTCCTGGTGAGAGGCTGGTCAGGCCCCTTGTTCTCACGTTCCTTCTCCTCCAGCTGTTCCATCAACTTGCGCTGGTTCTCGCGGAAGGCGGCGATGGGGTCATCGAACTGACTGTAGTATGTCAATACTTCACGCACGTCAATTACGTCGGACATTGCTATCGCTGCGAGGATTGAGAATAGTGTAGTTTAGTATTGTGAAAACAAGAGTTGTGGTGAATGCCCAGTAAAGATTTCGAGTCCAGAGTGACTTGTGGTTTAGAGTTTGATAATATGTATAGTCCCTGCGTAAGTCGAATGAAAGCGGCAATGAAATAAAAGGGCATGCTACCAGGTCTAATATATTATGCTGTTACAAGTCTATGTTTACGTCAGTTTCAATCAAATGTATAATAAAAATTAACTACATTTTGGCAATACAAAGGCGTGCAGTACTTACTTTGTAGCAAGTTAGCAAGGTCGAGGAGGGCAGTGTCATCATCAGCTCCCTTCCATTTCTTCAGAATAAGGGAGTTCTGTGGGTGGAATTTAGTAGCTGCTTTGTTCCAGTCAATAACTATTACCTGTAATTAGAAATAAAGGTGGTTGAAGGCCATTTCGCTTTTGCATCTGGATCACTCACATAGGAACATTATGTAAGACATACCTTGGACAGATCACGATTAAGTCCCTCAAGGTTCTTGACATGTACTCCATCGATAAAGTGCGTGGAGTCCCTAAACAGCCTATATGTGATGAACTTGTTCTCCGGATCTAACTTGTCCAAAACTGGCCATATCATGAAAGCATTCTCCGAGGTAAAGATCACCACCTCATAGTTGGAACTGGCGACGGTCTGTAAGAACTGGTCGACTCCGGGACGTTTCTTGAACCTGGTATTAAGAGATAAGGGTTGAAAATTTGAAATGTATAAAAATTAATAAATATTTTACATAAAATTATTGAATGATTGAGTAACTGTCAGATTATCCAGAAACGAATCTTTTAGAGGGATATAGTTATAATTACTTATAATTCTTGTACCTATAGTTCTTTTTAGGTCAGATTGTACACATTTTAATAAACTAAAAGACTAAAAGTTCCGTCACGAATCTGTCTGATTTTCACGTTTTAATACTTGTTTCTACCTCCAGCCAGTCTGGTAGGACCAGTCAGGGTGGACGAGCACGTCAGTAAACTCTAGGACCAGTGTGTAGGTGGGCTGGTACGGCGGCGGGAGCGGGTCGGGCAATAACTTCTCACGGGACGGCTCCTTTATCATCTGTAAGAGCAACAACATTTTAGGGAAATCTATTTTTAGCAACAGCTATTTTGTTGTGCATAACGGAGTTTATGATGTGAATTTTCTTTATGTTTATTTTACGAAATCTAAGGAGTAAGGGAACAACAGATGATGTTATTAACAGGCATGCATTAAAATATTTCCGCCACAAAAAACAGGAGAAAAATATTGGCGAAATAGTCAAGAACGTAAGATAATGGTGTCACCTTTTCATAAAAGGTGAGTTCCTTCCACGTGCGCCGTAGATATTGGAGGACGACGGGCATATGTGAGAACTCGTCTTCAATTATTTCGCCATCATCACCGCGACGTGGAGCACCCATCTCCACCACTAGGCAGCCGCCCATTACTGTCAGGGCACCGCCAAATACCGCGAAACTAGAGTGAGAAAACAGGACATGGAGACATTATTTCACTTGCAAATAAAGAAACAAATACAAAGTAATTAGCAGCATTAAGCCTTTAACTGCCAATAGAAAATTGTTTAAGTCAAATCCTTAGAAAAATACCAGTCACTGGTGTGTGGGTGACAGCTAATGTGTGGTAGTAGTGTAGTTACAACCTTACATTTGTGGTAAGATCCTAGCAAAACATACAAAACAATAACTTTTCTGATTGTAAGCTATTTCGCTATTAGCTTGGTGAGTCATTCAAGTGTTGTCTGTAGTTTGGACTCAATTCAATTAATGTATGTATTAAAAGAATTTCTTTAGGTGTAGGAGAGCTATGCTTTGGTAAGAATGGGCTGGGTTGTTGTCTCAAAACAAACACAAAAAGAAGGATTTTATTACAGTGATGCCTTACGGCCTTATTACAAAATAAGGTTTTATTTTAGTCTAGGACTAAGCCATTGAGCCAGTTTTTCGAATTGAAGGTAGATGACAATAAGATTCAAAATTCAAAACCCAACTCAATGGTTTAAACCTGGACTAAAGATAAACCTTGTTTTGTAATAAGGGGGTTAGAGTTTTATCAGATAGACTAATTTAAAATTTGATTATTTTTATGTGTGTCACTTTAAACTTTGGTACTTTCCTTACTTATTTTCTTTGGTATGGTTTGAAGGTACTTTTCTACTAATATTTAAGTGTTTGAGTGTAGATAGTGTATGTATGTTTGTCACACTTCAAAGAAGGCAAATTGATATTATGGGTAACTTTTTCCAAATAACACAGGTAAAGGTGCAGGCAGACACCTAATTTATTTAGAGATTATTGAATTGCCATACCCCATCTTCATCCTTCTCCAACTCTTCTCATTTTCTTCTGTCTTTTCTTTATTCTCTTGTTCAAATTTCTCCTGTTCCTTCTTGATAGCCTGCGCATCTTCTGTAGAAAGAGGAGTTTGTGGGAAGAATCTTCCTAAAATATCAGGTTTCACTGCATCTTTTTTGTCTGAAAATTTAAGTACTCATTGATTTATTGGTAATATTTATAAATAAAAAAATCGATGAATTTTAACTGCTCATTCCTTGTCAAGGAATGATAATTGGATGAGTGAGTGGACATTACCAAGGTATTACATCAGATTCACTTTGTATAAAATTAATTCAAACCACAGAATTTAATTTAGGAATTGAAATGAACATAGAGGTATGGAAAAAAATAAAAGCACTATTAAAAAAAAAATTCTTATTTGAAGTTCACATGCATGAAAATTAGAATTTGAGTGGTTCCTAATTAGAAATCATGTCAATAATCAAAGTTATTCAGATGGAAATTTAAATTTAAATGTTTGTATTAGATTTTATGAAGAAACTTGATTTATTTTAAACACTATTGATTAAATATCTGGCCGGTGCAAAGGCGAGATCTGGAAACTAACCTATATTTTCTGTAGAGTAAAATTTTGGTGAGTTTATAGTAAGCAACCATACGTTTTGCCTTAAATAATTTTTCGAATGTAAATTAGTTATGTTACAACACGCAGTTCTTGTTAGAGAAAGTACTTTTCTAAGAGACATTATTTCATTTGAAAAATCACATTCACAACAAATGAAGAAACGTCATTGAACTGTCACGATGTCACATTGATTTGATAAAAGTTGATAAAAAGACTGAAGTGCTGCTACCTGAAAATGTTTAAAAATAGGAACCGACCACTTCAGACGTTAGTCGAGTTTTGTAGAATTTTTCATTCTTATTTATCTGTGCTAGTAACGTTTCATTTTTACATTTACACATTTTTAGCATCCGAATAAATATTGTCATTGCAGAAATGTCAGTGGTGGAACGAAACGCAAAAAGATTTTGAAAAGTGATTGAAAACAGCTCAAAATTATATTTATCATAATTATATTGTAATGTGATGAATTATAGCAGTTTGTATTGGCGGTTACAAAATGTCTTCATTAAACAAACAGTCTACTTTAATGAATTTTATTAGGAAAACAAATGAAAATTCGAGTTCAAACAATGCAAAGTACGTACATAAACTTTGGTTTATTTTTCAATAATTGTTTGTAAACACCAATTTCGAAACCTAATTTTAATATAAATAGTAAATCAACAGAATAAGACAATAATTAAATAATCAGACCGTGTTTTCCCTCTTTTAGGAGGGTAGAGATTTGGTATAATAAAATAACGTGGGAAAGATTACTTTTGCCAAAAATTACTCATAACTTTAGCTTACGTATAATTTTAACTGAGACAGAAATTATTAATAACGGTGCTAAAATCAAAATTGTGCCTTATTTGATGCAAATAATATACTTACTTAATCAAATGTGTGGTTGGTAGAGATTAGTCACCTAAGGATACTTTATAGTCCCTTAATATGAAAAAGGAATACTGGGGTTAGTTAGTATTCTTTTTTCTTCATTGTCTATTTATTAAATAAGGAAAATATTTATAACCTTTCGATTGTGGTCATTCGAGACACAATAAATCTCGTCATTTACATGAGATTTGATGATTAAATATATGACAATTTTCTCTTTTAGTGGCAGCAAAAATGAACAGGTCTCAGAAAAGAAACCTAGATTTGTGTTTAAATCAAAATCCACAAGCTCTGGAAGTTGTAAGTATAATTTTGTACATCTAGGTATCATAACTTACAGATATTACCACAATATGAGTAACATAAATTAACTGAAAAGTTTAGCTAAAAAGCTCTAATAGTTACATGCACACTGCTAATAAATAAGAGTCCCTGTTGTGACTTGCAGCTCGTACAGGTTTTCTTGGTTAATTCACATGTTTAAATTCTTATTTTAAATTAATATATTACGGATCTGAAAAACACTTGCATATTTTATAGCTATGTATGTAAATGTTCAAAGGCGTAAGTGTGGCTTTTTAAAAAAAAAAAATACTTGGTCAATTAGTTTCGAAGCCTATTCAATTTTGACCAACAACCAATCAAATCTCTGCTATTTATATTATTAACATAGATTTATTCACAACACAAGCAAGGAAACTGAGAAATTTCTAAAAGTAACCATAACATAGATAGTTTCTCTAAATATCTATAATATTTAATCACCAAACTATCTTCAGGGTCATGTATATTTTTATTTTGGTTCATTCAAGATAGTCTCAATTGATGATTTACATTGAGCTGAGGACTTAGATTGGTTTTGAACCAATGTTTTGAGTTATTTCTGAATCTCATGACGTAAATGTAACTATAAGGAGTTGCAGAATACAAATGTGATATTTTTTTATTGACAGTGCATTGTATGATAAATTAATGTGTCTTGTATGTAAATTGCAGGGACACCTCCTTTCAAAAACAATAATGTTCAACCCAAGACAATGATTGGGACGGTGAGTAATGATTTGTTTTTTTTTTATGTAGCTATGTACTTATATAAAATTATTGTCTCATTCTATATGTGCAGAAATTGGAGATACTTTCTTCAAATACCAAATCTGGCAAGCTAGTCGAAATTTATTACTGGTTCAGCTTATAAACAATATAGTTTTTCTGTTAAAATTGTTAGTAAAATATCAAAACTTAGTTTATTTCCTGCCATAGTAAGTGTCATGATTGTATACTATTTTTCCAAATCAAATGATCTTACTAATATTTTAAATGCGAAAGTCACGATGTTCGGATGTTTGTTACTCAATCACGCCGTAACAGCTGGACGAATCTGAATTTGGCACAGGCATAGGATACTTCGGAATAGGACATAGGCTACTTTTTATCAACATACCACGCGGGCGAAGCCACAGGCGGAAGCTAGTCATATTTATATTCTCTACCTATTTGAACTCAAAGAATTCACCGTTCTATTATTTACATTTTTATCATATTGTTTCAGCCCCCTATAATTACAAATGGACACCAAGAGTCGACTCCACCAGTAGCTAAGAGACCAACATTAAACAATGGCATAAGTCCTATCACACATAGCCATACAAGGGAAGACAATCAAAGCAATGATATATTTGAAATGGATGTTGTGAGTACCTATAATTGTATTCAAATACTTTTATTCTTGTCTAGTTAATATTTATGTATTTCTTGCCATGAATGTACGGTTAGCGCGGTGCCTGGGCAGCTGACTGTCCGCACAATGTATTTTTTTATGGGATAGGTCGGCAAACGAGCAGTCGCATTACCTGATGGTAAGCAATCGGAGCCGCCCGTCATCGGAGGCATCAAGAATTGGGAAGGGATGCGGGGAAGGCGTGGCTTAGGGCCTCCAGTAATCTCTCACATAGCGAAACACAACGCTGTGGTGGTTTTTTCGCCGGATTTCTGCGAGGTCGTTTCCTCATTCCGATCGAGCCGACCCATTCATGCTGGAGCGTGGTTCTCCTACGCAAACGTTGACGTGAGGTGTTTAAAAAAAATGTTTTTGAGTGTCACTCAATTTAATCTTTTATTTCTAGGATGATGTCCAAATCTTTCCAAAGGTCAATAAACCCAAACCTGAGTCACGAACACCAGAGAAACAGAACAGATCAATAAGAATAAGTTCCACCCCAACCCCACCAAAGAACAGACCGGATAAACAAACTAAACAGAAGAAAATATTAAAGACACCTGAAAAAGAGGTTGCCAGTAAAGATAAGGATCCACTCAAGAACATTATGGTGGATAAATCATTAACAGGGTTTTTGGACAAGCTGTCTTCTCACTATGAAACTGTCACAAGCTTAAAGGTAATTTACTTATAAGTAGATATTGAATATCGTCAATGAAATACCTACTTAGACTGAAAACGAATAAAGTTATCTTTTGTGTAGCAAGCAATATGAGCTTTCCTCCTGGACATACTCAAGTTATTAATGATATTGTTTCATATTTTTAGGATGAAGTTAGTCCGGAGCACGTGGAGCGTTCTAAAGATCTGTACATAGAGTTACTGGAGAAAATATTTCACGCCTTTGACAAAATACCAAATTGTATAAAGGAAAAGTTTCCAGGGTACGACAAAAGGGTCTATGCTAAAGTTAAACAATTTCAATATAGATTCAAGAAAATATTAGCAAAACCCAAGAGGAAAAGTTCCCAATCATCACAGGACAGTGATATTAGGCTTAGTAATGGAGATGGCAATTTGAACGGTAGTAGCAGTCCTTCTTTATTGAGTAAATATGAAGAAAATAATGATTTAGATGATTTTGACTTAACACCTAGTATAAAATTTACGAATAAACTTAGTACGTTAAATGGAACGAGTATATCAACTACAACATCGACACCTGATATAGCTTTAAGTAATAAAGGACCTAGAAAAGAACTGATACCTAGATCATCACTATCATTTGACGCCTTTTCACCACTAAATAACTCGTCCAAACTAGAAACAAGTTGTCAGTCTGAAACAGAAAGTACAAGTTCAGATCAAGTCAAAGGCAAAGGGAAATTTGTTTTCAAAAAGCCTTCAAGACTTACTCTAGAAGAGAACAAACCGGGACCCAGTAGCATACAGTCTTCTACAGCAGAAAGAATAAGGAATGCTTCGGAGAAATTGAAACCTGTACCTACGATTGAAAGTCCAAAATGTGCACCAGTGCCTCTTAGTTCTATAGACTTTCAAGCACCACAGTTTAGCAAATCTTCTCTTATCAACATGGATGGACCTAGTACAGATTCTACTAAAGATGATGAGAACAGTGACCCAATGGATGATTACGAAGTACCAATAGATATGGATGATGTTACTGATATAATGCCAGAAGCGTCTCAGTCAGTTATAAACATCAGTGACTCAGTAGCCAGTACAAGTAATATAGATAATCTTACTCAGTCAGATATACCAGTCGATGAGGATGGTTGGCCAGTGTATAGGCCTGAAGATTTTGAAGAAAATGTTAAAGAATGTGATTTAGATACACAAGTGTTGAATCTAATGGATGAGACGGTGGTTAAAGAGAATACTACTAAATATGAAGGGATGGGTGACTTCCATGCTGGTACGCAAAACGATGGTATTACTGGTGAGTGATTTTACATCATCAGTCGTGTGTAGGTCGAGGTGGCCCTGAGGTTACGGCGCCCGCTTCTCAAGCATGAGGGTGTGGGTTCCGAGTTATACGTATTTTCTATGAATATTTAGACACCACTAACATATGGTGAAGGTAAATTTTACATTTATTTGTGTGGAAATGTCTCTATTTCCGGAGTATTTTCGTGTCAAATTCTTCCTTATTACTCTGATAATAAGTAATGATTTTGTTTTATAATTTGAACTGTACTCTAACACAGGTTACACAGGACAATAACTGTAGATCCATATATCTCTGCATCACCCAAAACTTGATTAGGTACCTACCAATAATTCCTTTTAGGTATTTGAAATTTTAACTATGCCATAATTATTATTATTGAACTTACCTAGAATATAAGCTCTTTGAAGCGACCTGTGTAATGCTATTACAGTAAAATAATTCATTTTTGCAGGTGAATTCGACGGTCTAGACTACCCTCACTCAGCGCTAATGATGGAGGTGTTCCAAGAAAGGTTTGGACTCAAGTCCTTTCGCCCCAATCAGCTACAGGTCATTAACGCTACGTTACTTGGACACGATTGCTTCGTGCTCATGCCTACTGGAGGAGGCAAGTATCTGAGTGCTGATCCTACTAATTCTACTATCCTACCAAACCTACTGTCCTACTAATCCTACTATCCTACTAAACCTACTAACCTACTAAACCTACTAACCTACAAATCCTACTATTTTACTATCCTACTGTAATATTCTAAATGTTAAAGTCTATAAGAATGTACGGATATAAACATGCGTTTGATATTCTGACACACAAAAACGGCGCCACCGATTTGGTTGAAATTTATTATGTAGATGGGTGGTACCCTGGATTAACACATAGATTGGTTTTTATCAATATACCACGCGTACTACTACGACTTATTTTGATTATTTTTCTTTTTCATTTTTTTCTTATTGAGATCGTCTTTGGTCAAGATCATGACTGCCTACCTAAAGATTTTGGATCCCGTTCCATGCAAAGTATTGTTTGGACTTTTCCATTAAATTTGCACTCAGTATCATCATCATTTTGTTGCTGTCTTCCATTGTAAGCGCTTATCTTACTATGTATTGTTTCTAGGTAAATCCCTCTGCTACCAGTTACCCGCCATACTGATGCCCGGTGTCACCATAGTTATATCTCCACTGAAATCCCTCATATTAGACCAGGTCAACAAACTACTATCCCTTGATGTAAGTTATTTGATTATTTTTTCAGTGTGCCTACTCAAATATAAGGTGTTTATTTTTTAAATATGTTTTCTGCAATTTAAGGTGTTTATGCTAATATCAACTGTATGCGGATTAGAAATAAAGATGAAATTTATTTAACATGGTGATGTCTGGTCTTTTGTTAGGTTTATATTTTGTGTTTACATAGTACTATAGATGTTGTTTATCAAATAGAACTATATCGTCGATTGAATGGGTTAACTACGTTACTACAGAGGAAAGATTCTTGGTATCGTTCGGTTTAGTAGTTTAGTGTTAGAAAGTGTTCACGGCAAATATGAATAACTGGCGAAAAAGAGGAGAACTGAAATATATTTCCCCAACCTTCCAAGGCTTCCTGGACTCCTTCCTAGAACCCACGAAATACCGGAAACTCACGTGTCCCTTGTCAATTCCTTTTATAGATTGCTTACCATCAGGTAATCCGCCGTTTTTGTTTTCTTCCGTGTCCGTGTTTTCTTGTTTGCCGCTGTATCTCATAATAAAACACTTTAAGGAATTAAAATCAGGCTGTAATGTTCCTTAGATCCCCGCAGCGCACCTGTCAGGCGACGTGTCCCTGGCGGCGTGTGACGAGATATACCACAAGTTGTCGATGCGTGAGCCGGCCATCAAGCTGCTCTACGTCACGCCAGAGAAGATCTGCAGCTCGCCCAAGTTCCAGTCCATGCTTAGTATGCTGTACTCACGAGGGAAACTTGCGAGGTAATGTAGGAAGGGGGTAGAATAATGTTAATAGTGTTGAGCTTGTGAGAAGAATGCTGGAAACGCTCGTCAATAACATTTACAGTCCAATTTCAGAATATTCATAATCAAAATAACTTTTTTGAGGAGAGAGCTTAATAATTAGACGATCGAGAGGGAGTGTCGATCTTTGAAAAACCAGTCTGTTCTTTCTTCTATTGCAGTACGTTGCGCGCGTGCAACATAATAAATCATTATTACAATATTGAATTAATTTCCTTTATTTTACATGTAATGTTAAGATAATCCAACGCAGTCCTTTTTCAATACGTTCTAAAACGATGCATTAATTTCTTCTTTGCAAATCTCTCTTCCAAATACCTACTAATATTTTCGCATCCATTCTTCTGTTTACTATATTTTTTCTTCATGTGAACATGCCCTATAAGGAATATTGCACTATAACTCCAGTAAGTGTTGTTGTCGCAGGTTCGTGATAGACGAGGCGCACTGCGTGTCGCAGTGGGGCCACGACTTCAGGCCGGACTACAAGCGGCTGGCCATGCTGCGCCAGCAGTTCCCGGCCGCGCGCCTGGCCGCGCTCACGGCCACGGCCACGCCGCGCGTCCGCCTCGACATCCTGCACCAACTACACGTCTCCTCCTGCAAGTGGTTCCTCAGCAGCTTCAACCGACCCAACCTAGCCTACAGGATACTGGAGAAGAAACCTAAGTCTATTAATCAAGACATTGCTGCTATTATCAAGGAGAAGTTTTTCAGGTTCGTTGTAAATAAAAGATTTATCAATTTTAAGTAAGGATTTATAATTAAATGTCTTTAAATGATCTATAGGTATACTAATATTATAAAGAGGTAGAATTTGTAATTATGTAGGGTGCTAGAGGGTAATCTTTGGAACCGCTGTCTGGGCGGATTTCCAAAATTCTTTTACTGATAAATAGCTTATTACAAATTTTCCAGAGTGCTATAAGCTAAACATAACGCTCCGATCAAATAGAGCCGAGCAGCGGGTTAAACCACTAGTGAGTAGCTAGTCGTCATCATAAGTTTTTTAAGCCTCCCTTGAATTTGAGATTTGTCGTATTCCCTAATTTCGCGGCCTAGGTAAAAGTTACGCTACACGAAGCCTGACTGCCGACAAAAACTGTTGAAGACTAATCCTCCACCAGCGTTGGATGCCATTATCCGAAAATGCGTTCTCCGTCGATAGTTGATCGCAGTTTTAGAACATACCAATCAAACAATTTTATCAAAATGCTTATTTTAATTAACATTCACGTAAATAAGAATACGGTAGTTTGTAACTAGTCAAATTAAATACTTTTATCCAAATGTCAAAACGATATTTTTCTATTAAATTTGTATGAAACTCCAAATTATGACGTCATAGTATTTGTAAAAAAATTAAAAATTGTATTGTGAGATCGATGAATAAAAGTACAGTTATATTTCAATATTTTATAGCTAGGAAACTACCCAATTATAATTTATATGACTATCTGTACTACATCTCAAACTACACTGTATATACAGAAAATCCGGTATAGTATACTGCCTATCGCGCAAGGAGTGCGAGCAATGCGCGACGGACCTGCGCAAGGCGGGCGTCCAGGCGGCGCCCTACCACGCCGGCCTCAGCGACAAGAAGCGGGAGGAGGTCCAGGCCGCATGGGTCGCTGACAAGTACCATGTCGTAAGTACTCCTAAAGTCAAAGTCAAAAAGTTAAATTAAACCCTTACAGGCACTTTTGCACGTCTAAGAAAATTTTAAAGATATAAAGTGTCAGTCTATCGCTCTGTCCTCTTATTGAAGCTTGTTCCACTTCAAAGCTACAAAATACAAATAACAATTTAATTCTTACTTTTATGGTCTTATAGGACGGTTCCAGAAACTGTGTCTGTTTTCTATTATAGTTCCCCAAAGATGAGACGGATAACCTGGCGGTAAGCAATCAGCGCCGCCCATGGATTCGCATAATATCAAAGGAGTTACTACAAGTGTCTTACCGGCCTCTTGTGGGTTACTAGGGATTTAAGGATAGGGGATTTGAGGATTAAGGATGAGGGGGGAAAGATTAGGCCTCCAGTAACCTCACTCATAAGACGGAACACAACGTAAGTGTTGCTTCACGCCGATTTCTGTGAGGCCGTGATCCTTCAAAAAAGGTCCACTCTATATTATAGTATTTAGGTGTATTTAAGTGTGGGAGAGCCATGCTTCGGCACGAATGGGTCGGCTCGACCGAAGTGATACCACGGCCTCACAGAAAACCGGCGTGAAATAACCACTGCGTTGTGTTTCGCCTTGTGAGTGAGGTTACCGGAGGCCTAATCCTTCCCCTCCCCCAATCCCTCCTCAATCCCTAAATTTTCAAATCCCTAATCCCTAAAAGGTCGGCGAATCTCCTCCGTTGCGAGTGTCCATGGGCGGCGCTGATTGCTTACCATCAGGTAATCTGTATGCTCGTTTGCTGACCTATTATTACATAAAAAATATATATATTTTATAAGTATATTATTAAGAGTTTATTTTCCTTGACATACTAGATCTGCGCAACAATAGCGTTTGGTATGGGCGTGGACAAGGCGGACGTGCGCTACGTGATCCACCACAGCCTTCCGAAGTCCGTGGAAGGTTACTACCAGGAGACTGGCCGCGCCGGCAGGGACGGGGAGCGAGCCACGTGTCTACTCTACTACTCTTACTGCGACGTTGTCAGATACAGGCGGTTACTTGATAGTATGTATATTATTTCTATTGTGTTTTATGTAAAACCAACTGTTTCCCCACTAGGATTTTCTCTTTTCAAATTTTTTTATCACGAATTCAACGCTCAATATCCGAAAAAATTTAGTGTAGACCAGTGATTGCAAATTATCATCTGAACGGTGTCAGTTTTCAATGAAATCGTGTTTATCTTTCGGTTGAATACGAGTCTTATCTTATTAATGTAACTTTTCGAGATTACTCGACTCGTTTCAAACCTCGACAGGGGCTCAAAATCATGAGCAGTATTACCCAACTCCATGTATTCTAATAAATTTAGCAATTATTGATCAGAAATATATATAATCTAATTATAACAGTGGAACGTAACACAAGTCCGGAGGCGCGTCGCGTGCATGTGGAGAACTTGCTCCGTATGGTGGAGCTGTGCGAGGGGGTCAGCGAGTGTCGCCGCGCGCATGTACTAGCTTACCTGGGGGAGCGGTACGACAGGGCGCTCTGTAAGAAGGACCCCGCCACTGCATGCGATAACTGCCTCAATGCTACTGATTATAAGGTCAGTTTTATTGTGTACGCTTTATTCGTGTGTTCCTGAACTATTTCAATCAAATACGTAAGAAAGTAGATTGGAGTATTTGTTTTGTTATTAATAGTTTGTATAATTTTAATATTTGTATCTAGAAATTTTTTTGATATCATTAATCAATGATAAGTTAATTTATTTGTTCTGCCATTGTTGTTTTGCATCCTCTTAACTTCCTTCATTCATCTTCCCTCTCATTTTCTTTTTCCATCTTACCTCCTCAGCCCATTTGATCTCTTATTTCCATTTTAGTAGGTGAAGGAATTTCGGTAGTTACTAGAGCGCGTCAGATTAACATTTGGGGAATATTTAGTAACCTATTGAATATATCCATCATATACTTAATGTAAACAGAGGAGGGGGGGGGGGGGATAACAATATAAAAAAATAACTAAATTCAGTCGTTTTCGTCAGTATGGGGGGGGGGGAAGTAGACGTCATGTCAAAGAAAAGGCGTTTAAAAAATCTGCCGATTTCATCGTCATTTACAACATCAATAGAGTTTTGAACGGGTCCCGTTTCTTCCCTTAGTTAGCCAAACCCACCATGCAATTCGGTAGATTAAAATATTTCACTGTCAGAAATACATGGAGAATATACATTATTAATATCTGTCACGCTCGTGCACTAAAACAAAAGTTACATCTCACAATTTTGGAAAACTATCATTTCCCCCTTCCTCCACCGGAGGAATGAAATGTCATTGAGACATTTTTTCTTTCTATCACCAAATCTTCAGAATAGATTCTGAAGATTTGGTGGTTGGTTACTCCCTACGACGCTTGAGTAACTACAAATTTAGCATCCTGGGCTCCCCTACTATTTTACCTTCTACATGAGAATATTTCCATTCACCTTCTGTTTGTCTCTCAACTATTTACTTTACCTTCCCAACTCTAACTTTTCTTTTCATTTCATGTACTCTTAAATTTCCTCCTCATCTTTCCCTCTTTTTCCAATGTACTTTCACCCACCTATTCTACACTCACAAAAAATGGTTTCCTTTTTTTGATCAATGGAAATGTATTATTACTTAGACGAAGAATTTCTCGTAAATTTGAAAGTAACTAGCTGGTATATGTATTTCGCAGCCAGTGGACGTGACGGAGGAATGCAAGTTGATAGTGCGGTGCCTGCGCGAGGTAGGCGCGCGCTGCAGCTTCACGCTGCTGCACGTGGCCGACACCCTGCGCGGCTCCAGGCAGCAACGGCTGCAGGCGCTGCATGACTCGCCCATACACGCCAAGTATGGCGCCATACACTAGTTTTTCCACTATCTCGCCCTTACTAATAAAGTCACATTTATTACATTTTCATTCCCTTATAGATTTTACGACAATCATTAATAATGGTTTTTCTCCGCCACAATGCCCTAACACTTCGCTAACGCCATCTATTGGTAAAATATAGTAACTAGAACCAAACTTTGCAATGCTTATCAGTAACTTTTTTTTTAAACAACATTGCCCGACACTACTATTTTTTCATGTATCGTAGCTGCTGTGTGTTTACAAAAATACAATTTCACATACACATCACACCCAGACCCGGAACAACAATTTGTGGATCATACAGAGTTGTTCCGTGCAAAAATCGATCAATTGCCCAGCTACCACACCGACGGTGCAGTGATATATTGTGGTTGTAGATGCAAGTCGTGGCACCGCGGGGACCCGATGCGCCTGCTGCGGCAGATGGTGGTCCGCGGCCTACTGGCCGAGCGACTCGTCGTCAACAACGACATCGCCAGCGCATACGTCGTGCTTGGGCCTAATGTCGACAAGTACGTACTAGTTCGCAACTTATCTATAGATATATTTTTTACCGCTTGGTATTCTGGTTGCTTTGATGACCTTTTTTAATGTTTGGTTTACTTTATTTTTAACTTTATTACTTGGATTATTTGTCGCTTGCTACATAGGAAATTCTGCAGATCTGTATATTTTACCAGCTCGATGATAACCATTATTGCACCTATGTAAACTCATTTTTTTATATTTGTATTGATCGTAGTTTGTTTCATGATCTGTAGTAAATTAATTCCGTTATTCAAATTGGGTAGTAATTCGACCCACACTAACTTTAGACCTATTTCAGTATTTTTATTTATAAGAAGCAATTCCTAGTTTTTTTTAATAAATTTTAGATCAAAATCAAAGTTTTTTTATAGCAGTAAATTATAACATACAAAACAGTTTGGTTTGGTTTAAAAGGGGTCGTTCAACAACTAACTCGGACTCAAGCGAATTTTTGAGAATATTTTGTGATTTATCCAAGGCGTTTAATTGTGTTCTGTATAATATGTGGATGAGCAAGCTATCTCATTACGAAATAAGGGACCTCTCTGGATATTCTTACATCATACCTAAGTAAAAGAGTACGCAAAGTTGAAGTAAACGAAAAAAAATCTCCCGGGTCTGTTTTTAGAATGGGTGTTTCGCAGGGTTCCATTCTCGGTCCATTTCATTGTTTCATTGTTAAATTTACAATTGCGTACCAGCGGAGTCCACTAAAATTGGTATAATATTTATACAGAATAAACTTGCATGGTTCTCCTAGTATATTATTTTTACATTTGTCTGGTCGTTGAAAGGGACTGGCCTCTGAGGCAATCCTGCGTCTTGCGTCTTGCGTCTTGCGTCAGGTAATCCTGGTGGTAAGTTATCGGCGCCGCCCACATATACCCCCAACACTACAGGAGTTACGAGCTAACGCTCTTTTGGGGATTCGGGTTTCAGAAATTTAGGGATTGGTTAGGGATGGGAAGGGTTGGACCTGTGGTTACCTTACTCATACGGTGAAACACAACGAAGTCACTTCGTTCCTTCACACACACACTTCGTCGAAGTGTGTGGTTTCCTAAGCTCTAAAAAGGGAGAATGTCCTGACAAGGCGAGGTAATCAAGCCTGAAACCGGATGCTGTTGTTGGGAATTTCTCGCCTTGGTTATTCACGCGCACTTGCGTAACGTAGGGCTTGTGAAGTTATCTGTTTTTATCTATTTGTTTGACGATTTTGTTGTCAAATCTTATAATAGTGGAGGGTTACAGAAGGTTTTATAGTTAGAATGTTACAACAGACTGATGGTAGGCGGACTCCGCATAGTGTTCCCGATGCGAGTGGGCGCGGCGCGCGGCGCTCTGACCGTAGCGCCGGTCGCGGGCGCCGCCTCGCCCGTCGCCGCGCTACTGCAGCGACTCGAAGAACGATGCTATGCTGACCTGGTTGAGGCCTGCCGGTAAGGAGAAATAAAACTATTTTTTAATTATCTATTTAATTTAATATAGCTCTGCTCTGCTCCTTCAGGTCGTAGCGCGATGTTTTATAATCTAAAGCCTTCCTCAATAAATGGTCTAGTAAACACAAAAAGAATTTTTCAATTTGAACCAAAAGTTTCTGAGATAAGCGCGTTCAAACAAACAAACTCTTCAGCTTTATAATATTAGTATAGTATAGATGTTGTTGACGTAAGAAGTTGGTTCATATACCATTACATTACCTCCATGGTAATACAATCGGTTTTCGGTTCTTTAATTATGTTTTGGAATTGTCATTTTTTGGTCTTGGAAATGGAACAATTAAACTTTAAATTATGAATGTGTATTGTCCAGTGCCACACTTGTTGTTTTGGATTATGTGTCCAACTTTTAAAAACATCACCCCCATTTTTCCTATCATTTGGATTCATTATCGACCAAATATGTGGTAATAAAATTTATGTCTTTTTTCCAGTGAAATGGGCAATGCTCGCGGCGCGTCCTTAGCGGCTGTATTACCACAAGCGGCACTGAAGGCGATGGCCTCGCGCCTGCCGGAGAAGGCCGAAGACATGTTGGCCTTACCTTACGTCACCAGGGCCAACTACCACAAGTACGGTGATCAACTACTGCAGATCACCAGCGCGTACGCCATCGAGAAAATGGGTGAGCTTTACTTTTTCTAGTGCTAATATGTAAATATTGATGTTGTGCTCTATACTGGTCATAATTTAGAATTGAATCTAGTCACCTTTTCAGATTCTGTGATACAAATATCATGAAATAAAAATAAATAAAATATTAAATTAGTCAGTTGCCGGAACTATGTAACCCAATATCAAGTGCTCGTATAAAGCTTGTAAAGAAAACCTTTAGTCAGTAATCACAAAATGTCAGATTTAATGACCTATCTTTAATTGTTACAAACTAGGAATCCTCATGGAGTACCAGGATGAATTGGAACAAAATAACAAGAAAGAGGCTGAGGAAGAAGAAGGGTCGGACTCTGACACGGATTGGAGCAGGGTGGCGAAGGATGCATCGTCTTTGGATACTTCTAGGGGATCCGGGGGCCGCAGGCGTGGGGGGCGGACTTACCGCGGCGGAGTGAGGAAGAGGTAACTATTATTTTATGTGACATCTTAGGTGTAGGAGCCATGCTTCAGCACGAATGGGTCGGCTCGACCGGAGTGATACCATGACCTCTCAGAAAACCGACGTGACACAACCACAGCGTTGTGTTTTGCCGTGTGAGGATACCGTAGGCCCAATCCCCTCATGCCGGCAATGCACTCCTATCTCCTTTTGTTTTACTGGTGACTAATCAGTCACTGGAATATGAGCATGTTAGCTTCATGTTTGAAGACATGGGAACACTGTCCTAGCACTACTTAATATGTTACATGTCGGCTTTCATTAATATTTTATGCAATTTATAATATTTTGTATTTAGGTTTAAACGCAAGCCGACGTCAGCTGCGAAGAAGAAGGCGGCGCGCGGTGCCTATGCGGGGCGAGCTCGGACCGGGGGCAAGGCTTCTACATCTACTGCAGCTACTACTTCTACAGGTAAATTAATTATAATTGCTTATCAGAGCGCCGTACATCTTATCGTAAAGCAAACTGGCTCTAGACACTAATACGTTTTTTGGAGCTGTTTTTACAGTGTTACCAAATAACTGTGTTATTTGGTAGGTAAAAAAATCAGCATAAATTAAAAAGGTTTTAAAGAAGCCAAGCAATAGTAACTTTTACTGTACTCAATAAACCTTTATTATTCAACGTATTACACACAATATCTTGATATGAACCTCAAAAAAGTGTGATCTGAGAAATAAGAAACACGGGTCTCAGCTTTCAGAAATGTATTAATAATTAAAATAAAATTATATGTTTCTTATTCCTAGGTCGGCTAGGCAGCATGCCAGTACCGCGCGGCACTAGCGTCCAGCTCAACACTCGGCCCGGAGTCTTTAACCCATCACGACTTAACCTCATATAAACCAAACAACGTACAATTATACTTTCCAGTGTTTCACGCAGTTGTTTTTGCGAATACAAAATTTGTTTATTTATTTTGTATTAATTGTTCGAACAAAAATGTGAAATAAACTGCTATTTTAAACAGTGATTCGGTTCTGATACAATTAAATTCGTTAATTTATTCAATAAGTACGTAATAATTCAATGTGCCTGTTCTAGTTTTATACTGTAAATATAAATATGTTGAAGTTTATTCTTATTTGTTTTATTACAAAAGCTATAACGTCAAATATTGTATGCCTTTTCCTTTTTTAAACGTTGCCTTACACTACGGTTTTGTATACAAGTCACACCCAGACCTGTAACAATAAGTTGTAGATATCACCAGGAGATGCTCCGTGCTGGCACCGAACTGGCGACAAGTTGCGTGGCGGTCAGTTGCCTAAATCACAATAGAAATGGTTTAGTGTACCATAAAATACCAAGGAAACAACAATTTAAAAATATGTTCCATAAAAGGTCTTATGAAAAAACCGCATTCTTGCGTTATTCCTTACCAAAGTTATTCAGACAGTCCAACCCCATCTGGAAGATAGTTGGGCTGTGACTACTCCTTGCTACTCTAATATATATTTAGTCAAAGCTAAATAAAGTAACAGTATGTAGGTACGTTTATACCTGGCCATAGTCATTACCAAGGTCCCCCATCACATGGAGGCTGAGGAGAAATTTTTAATCCCTATGGAGAAGAACAAGCAAGAATCCATGGTTACATAAAACTCTCAATCTGTTTCATCACTATCGACGGACCATACTTATTACCAAGTTCATTACGTAGGAACAGTATAAAAATAATATTAAGACGAAAATTGTAAAAGGAACAGAAAATAAATCAAGAAAAGATGATGAAATAAAACACATATAGGTACTGTTGCACGTGTATAATTATTTTCATAGCGTTCCCTGATTTGGCGAGTTCTAGGGCTTCCCTGGCGCTCTGCAGCGGATAGTGGTGTGTGATGAACTTCTTCAGGTCAATGGCACCTGAGGACACTGCTGCGATAGCCGGCGGGTATCTAGACACACGCAGAGTTTTGGTCATGTATTTGTTTGTATATGTTTATGTGTAGGTAAAATGTTGAAAATATATAGAACATTGTACCTAAGCTTAACTGTCGAATTGGATAACTTTTGAAATGATAGTGAAGGAAGATTTTATAATAAACTAGCTACTCTCGCGCGATTTCACTCGCTGCCTGCTCGGCTCCATTTTATCGTAGCGTGATGTTTTATAGCCTATAGCACTCAGGAACAGTGTAGCTATGTATCAGTGAAAGAATTTTGGCAATTCGACACGCGGTTCCAAAGATTATCCCCGACATACAAACTTACAAACATACAAATTTGACCTCTTTATAATATAAGTAGAGATAAATAATAACTAAGCAAATAAATGTAATTGCCTACGTTAAGGTTTTTTAATCAGTTTAAAGAAAGTTCTGTTTTGTTCTGTCATCTGCTTGTTTTCTTATATTATCTGTCTCTTAGATTTTCCCAGTAACGTTAAAATGGGTTTCCAGTTTGAAACAGGCTTTCTCGTATTTACAGCTTTGTTGTTATTGATTCGACTCTATTAGTTATAACTGTAACATTGTAGAGCATATTCTAAATGGAATAACCGAAAATTATTCTTTGTGTGGGTGGGGTTATCGGAGGTCTAATCTTCTCTCCCATCCCGAACCTTGAATACCCTAATCCTTAAAACCCTCAGACCAAAAGGCTGGCAACGTACTTGTAACTTTTTGAAGTTGCAAGCGTTGGTCATACCTTACCATCTTTAATTTATCATATCATAAATATTTGCTGCGTCTTACGTGTTAACGATCCTGAAGGAGCCCCGCACGTCGACCTCCCGCAGTAACGCCTGCGATAGTGGAACCTCCACCTTGTTATCCGCGATGCCCACCACAAGCAGCACACCCCCTGTCTTTGTTACCTAAAATACAGATGTTTACTTCTTTATTTCTAGACCAAAAAAAATACCCGTCTAATCGAAGAACTAGTTTATCATTTTGTGAAAAGTAAAAGACAGCTTTCTTTCGCTGATTTTGATCACGACACTGCATTGGAAAACGTGGAAAACCTGTGTGTGTGTGCATTACTACATTATCAGTCACAAGATGTCTATTGCTTAAGAAACGAGGAGTTTTTGAGTCAGTAAGAGTCTTACACCCTCTGACTTCAGCTGATAGTTCGATGACGAGACGACATCCTGCCACTTGCACTTGCCACACAATGGCTACCCCCAACTAATGAGGTCGTTGGTTCACCTAGCGGTTGGACTTCCTAAGAACTCCAAGAAGGTCACGTTCTAGAGCAAAATAGTTTACCAGCATAGCGACTCTCTGCGCGGAGGCGTACCCGCAGGCATCGATGGTGACGTCAGGCTGACAGCCCAGCTGTGCCACTATACCGTCCACCACCTCTTGGTCGCTGTAGTCTCGCTTCACCAGAAGGGTGTAGTCCGCACCCAGCTCGCGTGCCGTGTCCAATCGGGATTGTACCACGTCTAGAATCAAAATGTACGTATTTTCATTTTGTTTATCGCATTGTCCTCCTTATCTAAATTGCTGACGAAACAGTTGCGTTGTGTTTCGCCGTGTGAGTTTATCGGCCCTCAAAAGGACTGAGGGCACATCACAAAATAAAGATGGCGGTTTTGATACAAAACCCAGCTTCATGCCAAATGGAGGCTGATAAATTATAAAATGATCCTGATAAGTCAAGAAGCATAAATGGAATTCTGCGGTTACAAAAATATATTCTAAGCTCGCTTAGACCCATTTAGCTGCCATTATAATTAAAAGTAACAGTAACGAGGCGAAATCCAGTAAAATACAGACGGCAGCATGTCAAAGACTCCCATTTGCAATGTTTTGGATTTTATGACTTAAACGAAAGTTAAATTAGATAGAAAAGAGTAGGTAGATTGACTAGCTGTTTTCTGAGAAGTGCACATTACCTGTAATGAGTATGGTGCTAGCTCCCATGGCCCGCGCAGTCAGGGCGCAGAGTATCCCGATGGGTCCGCCGCCGAGGATCAACACACGCTGGCCGAGCCGTATCTCCGCGCGGTTGCAGGCGTGCATTGCTATAGCGAGGGGCTGCACGGCCGCGCCTTCCTCCATGCTTAGGTTGTCTGGCATCCTTGAGAAAAGAGTTTTTTATTTGTAATATTCTGGGGGGCAAGATAGGAGTATTTGTTTAAAAAAAGACGTTGCCCCACACTAGGATTTTCTCCTGTGCCGTGGGTGTGTTTATAAACACACAATTTCCCAGAACCGGAACAACAATTTGTAGATCACGCAAAGATTTGTTCCGTGCGGGAATCAAACCCGCGACACGTTGTTCGGCTGCCAGTTGCCCGCCACCGCGCCAACCGTGCAACCTCATCATCGTCAGATTGTTAGTATTATATTCGCAACGAATGGAGTGCGTCCAAGTTAAGTACTTCGCGAGATCGATATATCGCTCTTTGTTTCCAACCATTAGGTACCAGCTACTTTATTACCAGCTACGTTGTAAAAGTGCCGTTTTATGGCCTATTTGCAAAAATAAATTCATTGTTTCATTGTTTGCAGTTATAACGTCTCTCCACCTCCCTAAACAGCGCTGCATACGATATAATGTCTTTAGAAACAAACTAACTTGTGACAGAAGTCGGCGACATGCTTGTAGTACCGGCAGAGGTTGCCGGGCGCGCCGGTGGTTGAGCAGTAGCGCGGCGCCACGCACAGGTTGTAGCGCCCCACCTTGCAGTACTCACATGCGCGGCACGGCTGCGTCGGCTCGATGGCTACGCGGTCCCCTACTACTAGAGATGACACCTTTGAACCAACCTAAAACAATAGTTCACACGCACACATTTTAATAGAAATCAGATAGCCCGTTGATATGTTATTTATGCTGGAAGACTATGCGCGTCATTGAAGACAATGAGCGGTTTGTTAATAACGGTACGCTTGGCAGGCGGGTGAGCGATCGTTGTCCTAAGTTACATTTATGTTATCCCTTAAATCGAGCCTCACGATGAAGGAAGAATAATTGATAATGAAATATCTTCTGCTTACTATTATCAAAAATGGAACGCCCTGTTATGAGTACGTACTTATGTCTACAGTATTTGGCTGGACTTTTGGCTAACTACTATACAAGGTCATATCAAACACTATGTTTGGATATACCTATATAGATATATGGCAGGGATTTCAAAGTTAAAATCATTTATACAAACTGAGAGTTTTGATATGTTAAAGTTGAAGTGACCGTCGGCCTGCCCTTCAGCGAAGCTAAACAATTTCAGTGTTGCAACATTATGTACTACTCTCAAGAAAGTACCGGGAGAAAGTCAATAATACACAAAATGTTTGTGATTCATCTAAATTTATTTTATCACCTTCAAAGTATGCTCCTTCAGAATCGATACACCGAATAATCCAATCATCGAAACCTTTTTTAAACGCTGTTTCCGGAATTGAGTTCAGTGCTCGCCGCGAATTCTCCTTTATGTCTTCTAACGATTGAAAACGGGTGCCACGAAGGGGTAATTTGAGTGTGGGAAAAAGAAAGAAGTCGGCTGGAGCCATATCTGGTGAATATGGTGGCTGCTCGATGGTGTTTGTTGAGTGTTTGGACAAAAATCGTTTACAATGATGGCCTTGTGCGAAGGCGCATTATCGTGATGCGAAATCCAAGAATTTTCTTTCCACATTTCTGGCCTTTTTCGTCGAATTTGTTCTCTAAAACGCCGCATAACGCTCAAATAATATTCTTTATTTACCGTTTGACCTTCGGGCAAGAATTCTGAGTGCACAACACCGCGATAGTCAAAGAAAACAGTCAACATGACTTTGACTTTTGATCGACTTTGACGTGGCTTTTCGGTTTTGGTTCAGTTGGAAGGCGCCATTCCGAAGCTTGTTGACTAGTTTGCATGTCAAACTCGTAAACCCACGTCTCGTCACCAGTAACAATGCGTTTCATGAATGTTGGGTCGGTATTGACTCGTTCTAGCATGTCCTCAGCGACTTTCATGCGATTTAGTTTTTGAAAAAAATTCAGGTCTTTTGGGACTAGCCGAGCGGCAACACGTTTCATACCCAAATTATTTGTTAAAATGGAACGGATCGACTCGTGGGATACAGAAAGTTCGGCGGCCATCTCTCTCAAACTTGAATGAGGATTTTCAGTCACTATTTCCTTCACTTTTGCGATGTTAACTTCAGTTGCAGACGTTGATGGCCTACCAGAACGAGGCAAATCTTCCATCTCATCTCGACCGCTTTTGAACGCTTTGTACCACTCATAAGCACGTGTTTTTGATAAAGTCGATTCACCGTAAGCCTTCTGTAACATTTTAAGTGCCTCCGAACACGAAATTTCATTGGCGATGCAAAATTTAAGACAAACTCTTTGTTCGATGTTTTTGTCGATTATGAAATTCGCAATACACACTAGATATTATAAAACTAAAAACAGCACTGTTTTTAATATAAATAACAGATGCAACTCAAATTCCGCTACAAAATGGAAAACAGTTATGCCAATCTAACAACAACAAAAAAAATTAAAATTCCAATTTGGAACCATAAAAAAACATTCATTCCCGATACTTTGTTGACTGAATGTATGTATGCAACTACCTACTTACTTCGACAACAACTCCAGCGCCTTCATGGCCAATGACAACCGGTTCAGATATGGTTTCCATTCCACACGCACCAGTGGTATAGAGCTTCACGTCAGATCCGCAGATACCCACGCAATCCATTTTAACCAGCACCTCTGTAAGAAATGACTATATTTTTATTTGAAATTCTAAAGACCGACAACGTAGATACTTGTTACTTTTCGGAGGTCTATGGTCGAAGCTGATCGCTTTTAAACAGTTTTATTAGATTAAGAATTTATATTACCTATAATAAAATGCTACTGCAACTCACCATCATCGTGTATTTCAGGCATGGGAATATTTTCCTGAAACAATGAGCAATTGTGAGACGTTAACGATTTAATTCTAATATTAAGTATCTAATATCATATAGGTAGTAGTTGGTAGGTATCTATAGTATATACATAGTTTCGTCTTCTTCCTGCTATCACCCCAATTTATGTATTTGGAGTCAGTACAATAAATGCTTATCTTTCTCGCATTATCATCAACAATTCATACTCCCTTTCCTTCTTCTAATTCAAATACTCGTAGGTAATATCTTTTTTAGTATATTAGCTTCGTCCTTCATCGTATCGTTTAGGGTAGACTGGGTACGGTTGAAACAATTTGGCATATTTGGTTTATAATTTTGTCATTTATTAACCAAATGATCATTATGATACATGAAATTCAAATATGAAGTTTTAGCTACGATATGGCAGTGTCATTATGGTTCTCAAATTACTATTTTTGGAAATATGCGAAATTAAAAAATATTTATATTTTGTTTCAACCGTCCCCGTGCCAGGGGCGGTTGAAACAGCGATTGGGGTCAATTGAAACACATACAAATAAAACAATAAATACTAATGAAATATGTTTTATTTGTAATTAATACTAATTATATTAATAATTATTACAACATTAATCAGTATTCAAGATTTTAATTCTTCAAAAACGTTTATCAGCCTTTGACTAATACCTAGTAAAGATTTAGAGTAATTACAAAAACGGTAGTATCAGAACAAAGGTATTAGAATAAACTTTAAAAACAAATAGACTATGAAAATAAACTAATTAAGAGACATTTCTAAAATTAATAAAATAACCATTGTGAATAAACTATACGAAAATATTTTAAAATCAAATAAACTAATAAAGAAATCCCTGTTTAGATCAAATAGACATGGAGAATTAACTTAGAGAAAACATTTAGCTTAGGCATTTATCGGAGTATTCAGAGTCGGAATTATAACAAACGTAGCTAAGACCACCTTCTGTGCATTCTTCATGTGCCCACTGTTTACACGAAGTACATTGAATTCACTTCTCTCCAGATCTGCTCTCTGAATATGGTGCTGGAGTGTCAGACTCTTACTGACTAAAAACCCCCCGTTCCTTCTCCTGCTCTCGGCCGTTCGCGGTGCCTCATTGCGCTTACCCCGCAACCCCGGTTTGAATATGGTGCTTCTTAGCATACAATAAAGTACCATTCTTCCTCTTATGATGCTTCCGATGACAATTCCTGCTCAGTAGGTATTTTTTTCTTTCGTTTTTAAATTTCTTTCTTACTGCGTCCTATCTTAGATAGTCCGAAATATATATATCAGCACATCGCATCAAACATGATAATTCTCGCTCCTGATCTTCATTAAAAACACGATTGTGTGCTTTACAGCCCATATCGTCAGCACCGGTCGCATATCGCTTTCGAATGTATCAGGGAACATTGGTGTATACCATGCTTTTCCGCCGCTTTCCGAAAGGTTTCTCCAGCTTTTACCTCCTCATATGCATTACTGTAACTTCATAAGTCAATGTTCCCTCTGGAAGTCTTCCTCAACCGAACTCTCGGCATCTACAAAAAAAACATAAATATATTTTCTGTTCAACCGTACCCACAAAAAATGTTTCAACCGTCCCCAACCCCACTTTACGTATAATATACTCTATATTTACGACAGTAATCATAATATATAAAAAATAGTCACTATTCCTTATTCTACAAGCATCGTAATAATCGCAAACACACACCTTATAACATTCACTTAAAAATAACAGATAATAAAAGCGTTAATGTCAGAAGAAAAATACTTACTTTTGTGTAATAAAAATTAATATGGCGTCCTGCACACAACCTCAACGCGTGGGATGTGGAATGACACTGTATTCGGGTTCGGACCTGTCGTCCGCTTATTCTTCCCCTTACACCCCATATTCCCCGCGTAACCATTTACGAGATATTTACTCTGTTTCAACCGTCCTTTGTTTCAATCGTACCCAGTCTACCCTATAATATAAGTCAAAAGTAGGCACTTCATCGTTCTCTTCAAACTAAACAACGAAGAATAAAACAATGAAATAATAAAACAATAAAAACACCAGTTTGTTAGAATGACGCGTGTAAAACTATAAACATTAAACAGTATAAAGTTTATGTTTAATATTATCTAAGAGGTTAGCATACTGTATACACTGGAAAGATAAAAACATTAAGTTATTTGTCATTTATCCGAACAGTCACGTAAATAAATTATTTATTTATTAGGTACTAGCTTTCCGTCCGCGGCTTTACTTAACCGTGTTATTTAATCCATAGAAACTAAATACACACCTAAGACTGAGAGAGTTAAGCCCCTTTTGTGGAATTGCGCTTGTTTAGAATTGCTCAATTGTGGAATCTTTCTCTTTCCCTAGGAAAAGCTACCCAGAGTGCCCAGTGCGAGTTTGCTGTACGTTAATGCGATCGACACGTTTATGACGTTCCACGCTCTGATTGGCTAGTTTTAAGTTAAACAACCAGAGGATAAAGCGTGAAAAAAGCAAACAGCGTGAGAGGGAACTTCTTTTTCGCGTTCGTTCTCATTTAAGATTTCGATATTGTCTTTTTCAAATTAAAAAAAAATGCTACGCACGAATATACCTAAGTTGTAAACTCAACGTAGATACTTATAAGAAAAAACCTTTAAATTCTAATTATGAAATTCCATCCGAAAAACCAAATAAGCACTTATAGAAAAGTTTAGCTTAGTACCTAAAAACCTGTAAAATGAATATAACTTACAATTCTAATATCGTAAGGTCCGTGCAGGACTGCAGCAATATTGTCAGCCATTGTACTTAAAAGTGTGTACGAGAATCTGTAGAGTATGACAACAATACGGGTGGAGACGCACTCGCGGTTTAATAGTTAGCCATGTAATGAATTAATTTCGTTCTCTCCTGAATTACGTCTCTCAATGTAAACATACAAAAAGATATGTACTCATGATAACACCAGATGGAAAGGTCTAGTTTATTATTCCAATTCTTGGTTTCTTAATGCCTATAGATATCCCGGGTATGCGGGTAAAGCATTATAATGCCCCGAGGCTTGGTTCGACACTGGAGTAGGAACGGGGTGATTTATAGCCAGTAGGAGTCTGATGCTCGTTATCGCTGCACCTAGGGCTGGATATGTCTTTGGATGATTTTCTCTCCTCGAAAATAGAATAAATAATCAAAAATCGCTTATAGCTATACAATAAAATACTGAATTCTCTTTCTACTTCATTGAAGATGTCGTGCTTTCATGAGAGCTGAAAGGATATGCGTATAACTTTTTGCTTACGTGTACTCGAACGAAACCTTCAAAACCCCACTCTTTCCTCAATCTCTATCTCTTCTCCTTCTGTGAAGCAATCTTGCAGTCATGCTCGCAAAGAAGGTGGCGAACCACGTAAGGGGACTATCCTCCTCGCACCGCAGCCGCCCCAACGCAGGAGACCCTCCAGACATCGGATTATCGCGCGACGATCTCTGATAGGCGCAGATCTGCGGTCTGCGAAATAAATAGGGCAGTTTACCTATAATATATAAGAACAGAACTAGACCATGGTGTACGGAACGCGACTAGCCTCAAAGAGCCATTAGACCATTAGGTAGGCCGAAATTCTGGGGCAAGTGCAATAATTATAAACGACTCGCGTTGGCTCTGGCTCGAAACCGAGTGATTTTAGCCTTTAAAAGTGTGATACTCTCACAGGAACAGGTAACAGGAAAATAGTGAATATTACGTACTTAGGCGATATCCACAAAAAAGGTTAATTAAAACTCTTTGGCCCTGCTTAGGGATGTAGCCTCGCTATGGTTTCTCCGTCGCATGTATGACGGGGAGTGTTCTAAGGAATTGTTCGGTTTGATCACCGCCGCATCATTCTACGCAAAAACGTTTAAAATAGTTGGCAGTCAACAACAGTTCGATTTACGTGAAACTTTTTGCCCCGCAGAATGATCTTCTGGTGGCGGTATTTTCGAATCGATACAACATTCAAACCATCAAGAAACGAGCGAACTCCTTCTTAAAAAAAAGGCCGGTTACGTGCCTGTGATTCTTCCGGTGCCATAGGTGCGCATGGGCGGCGCCGATCACTTACCATCTGGTAGTCCGGATGCTCGTTGGCCTACTATTCTTTAAAAAAAAGATAGGTACATTGTTTTCCGCCTAGTAACTCTTAGCTACAAGCTTTCTTCTGATGCTTATGTAAACTGTTATTCATACAAATGATCTGTCCAATGGTTATTTGAATCACGAGACCGAAAATTAAATAATTTCTACATTTTCACAATTAATGTCAATAGCCTTATCAATCTAGTTTGTTTGTTTAGTTCAAACCACGTGTTTTGGACTCACTGTGTGCTCAACAATGTGGTGAATTGAATCAGAAAAATCGTAGGCTACAAAACCCTCAAACATCAAAACCGCAAACGAGTAGACAGATTACCTGATAGTAAGCAATCGGCGATGCCCGTGGACGCCCGCAACACCAGAGGAGTTGCGAGTGCGTTGCCAGTCTTTTGGAGACTACAGTTTCGGTGACTTAGCGATTGGGGAGCGTTGGGGGATGGGAAAGGATTCAGCCTCCGGTAACCAACCAACACAAAAGCGATTACCAATAATCGAAAAGGGATGTGTTGGCGTCGGTAACAGAGAAGTTGAAATGTAAATTCCTCTCTCATGGTATGGCCAAGGAATAAGAAGTGAGAAAAGGCGTGCTTTTTATAAGAGGGAAATCATCCCCTGAATTCTCTCGTCTAGAGCATAATGAGAGGATGTCAGTCTTACTGACTAAAAACCCCCGTTCCTTATCCTGCTTCAGGCAGTACCTTCCTACCTTATTGAGCTTGCTCAAACGACAAAACGAATTTAGCTGCGAAAAGACTTAAAGGAAGAGGACAGAGATGGACGGACTATATCAGTAATATAAATTAAGCATCATGCCAATACCACTCTAGTTTCATTTCCTACAGGTTTCATAGGAAAGCACGGATGAAGGTACTGCGCTCCTGCATAAACCTACTAATTTATCGGTTTATCGTATTTCACAGTTAGTCATTGTTTTGGGAGCTATCCTCTTCCTCACGCCCCTGCCGCCGCAGTAGGCAACACTCCGGGCGTCGGGTATCGAGAGACGATCTTCGGCCTCCGTAAGCGTGGGTCTGCAGACGGCGAGTAAGGGTAGCTCGCCGTCCGACCAGAACCAGACCCGTGCGGCCTTGGCCTAGAGCAGGAGAAGGAACGGGGGGGTTTTTAGTCAGTAAGAGTCAAGTTTGTCACTATTGCTTACGCGATCATGAACAAAACTGCTTTGAACCGAATTAATCGTGTATTTTTTGTTTTCTTGACATTTGAACTTTACTTGCGCGATGGGTTCGATAATGAATTAGCGTCATTTTAATTAAATTGTTGTCGTACCGCGTACGTGAGAATGCTAAGTATTTTTAAAGGCTAAGGCCTATCAAAATTTTATATTCTATGTGCTGAAATATACCTACTAAGAGTAACTAAAGAAGCATTGACTCAATTACCTACATTGTCGTAATTATCGGATTTAGCAAATTACTTAGGTACTGACAAGGCTTTTCTATTGGGTAGGTACCAGCGATTTTAAATTTGGTTTAAAATTGGGTTCTGTTAGGCATAGGTAAATAGGTCCTATATTTAGGTTTAAAAAAACAACAAATAATGGAAAATATTGATTTTTATTTATAAATACAAAAATATTTTCTCAATCAAAGTTTAATTTCAATCACGATTTTTATTTATATCAATAAATTTTAACAATTAACAACTTATACTAAACAACAAAGTTTGCACTTAAAATTAAATGTTATGTCTTTATGATACAATACATAATTGCGTGAATTCGATTTTTTTACAATGCATATTTTGTGAGAATATTAATTAAATTATATTGAATTTATTTCAACCCTGTTTACGACATTCATTGGGAACAACATTTTAGAACAAGCAATTTGAAAAAAGAACAAAGCCAGCTTATCCAACCAACTCAAATTGTCAAATTATGACTCGTCAATACTTCGATAGATGTTCAACCGAGTCTCTTAGTAATAAGGTCGAATATCTATTGACAGTTTGAGTAAGACTTGACCAGCAATTTTGTTCTATACTGTATAGTAGTTAAAGTTGAGAATGCAGTGTCTAGAACTTTTGGGGATTGTTAGTGTCCCTGGGCTGGACGTGTATCATGACCTTGATACCAGCTCCTTGGCGCGCGACCTCGTACGCTTGGAGGGTTTCTTCCATGGTGAAGTGGTGGGTGACTAGGGGCTTCACGTTGATCTTACCGCTGGCCACCATGTTTAAAGCTATTGGGTACCTGGGAAAAGAAAATTATGAATAGATTGTTTGACCTGACATTACACTGAGATTTTCTCCTGTGTCTCCTGTTCTTAAATACACATACAAATTCGCATACCGCGAAATCCAACCACAAGTTCGAAAGGAAACATAATAATGTCGACTATAGTTAGGGACTAGGTCATTCGTCGTGACTATATTCACATCATCATCAGAATTTAAGTGTTCACTAACTGAGCACGCCTCTTCTCTTACGGAGAAGGTTTGAGCATGAATTACCACGCTGAAGGCAGATTTATATTTCAAAGTAATAATTAGAAATTATTGGTCCAGGACTCCAAAAGACTAAGTTTACCCTCACCGGAAATCAGACGTGTCTAAATAAATTAGTACAAGCCAGATTTCGAACCGGCCCCTTCATGCTTAAGAATCGGGCTCCTTAACCTCCGGGCCACGACGACATTAAGTTTAATTACTTAACAAAATAATTAAAATTATTTTGTTTATATATTAAAACTAAACAATATAATTGCGGTAGCTATACTTACTCGTTAACATATCGGAAGATGCCTCGTATGTCGACCTCGCGGGCGAGTGCGCCGGCCAGCGGCACGGTCTGCTCCGGCGCACCCATGCCCACCAGCACTGCCACGCCACCTGACTTCGTCGCCTGAAACAAACAACAAGTTATCAATAACATAAGTAACTTATTTATTCTTTTCTATTGGTAGCACCATAGTAGTCAATCAATTTTCAACGTTATTTCAAAATTTCAGGGTTGAAATTAGCTTAACATGTAGGTGGTAGCTTAAAATCTAGTTTCTTTTTATAGGTGTCCTTTTGTTTTCGTATAATTTCAGAGTTTGTAAAAGGAACATTAAACAATTATGTGCATGTTCCTTATATACATATTATTATATTATCTTACCAGCATAGCCATCCTGACGGTGGCCTGTGCTCCACTAGCGTCGAAGGAGATGTCAGGCTGGCCGCCCAGCAGCTCATGGATCTTCTTCACCATGTCTTCCTCACTGGTATCCTTGGTCGAGAGGATCGTGGCGTCAGCTCCCAACTTCTTCGCGAAGTCCAATCGAGACTGCAGTACGTCTAAAAGTAGGATAATAAGCAGAGTCAAAAAGCAGAATAAATTGATCAAAATATAAAATTGAACTCTATGTATATGGTTATAAGGTTCTTCAAAAACTGAAGCGATTAGAACAAAGTAAAGGAGAAGGATAATATTGATCAACCAAAACAGACTTTATTCTTTAAGCAATAGGGAACTGAATTCTTTAAACGTGTGATATTTAAGAATGGTTCTAACCTACCTGTCATGAGAACTTTGCTGGCTCCCATGGCCTTAGCAGAGAGCATGGTGACGAGACCAATAGGTCCAGCGCCCAGCACCAAAACGTTGTGACCTCCGGTCAGGCCTGCACGTCTACACGCGTGGATGCCAACTGACAATGGTTCTAGTAAAGCTCCTTCTTCCATTGTCACGTGGTCAGGCAGTCTGCGGAGAAA